GACCTAAGATTTTTGACAAAGTAATTTCGAAGATCAAAGAATCCAAATATAAGTGTTAAATTATGTCACAATGAAAAGAAATCTACTTTTTACTTTCGTGAGTGATATTGTACGACTAGAAAGTATATTTTAAAGTAAAGTCGCTGTAAGTTTTCAAGAGCTTTCAAGGTTCCTTTTTACCTAAAAATAAAAAAAACAAGTTCTAATCCTTTTGACTGTATCACAGATAAACTTAAAGATGCTTGTTCAATCCAGAAACAGTTGTTAGCCGTTCTGTTGAAATCATATACTAATGACAAATCTTGTAAACTCTCTGAAAGTTCGTTGATTCCATAAATTTGTGAACAATATATCCCTTCGTAGCTTTATACTTGATATATTTTACTGAGAAATAATACCAATGAGTAATCATATGTGCATATCACCTTTCATCTATGTTAATCTATTCAAACAGATATATACAAATGTAAGTCTAACCATGGACTTTAATGTTTGTTAGCTGTTTAGACTTTCTTCTCTAAAATCACTGATTGTGACATCTTTATCAGAGTATGATTGTGAACATTTAGGGTACATCAACATATCTGGTAAAATTCATTGAGATTTCAGGTTTCGATGTTTGAAAATGAATGAAATGGATTTATGAATGAAATAACATTAGAGGCACATTGGTTCGTAGAAAGATGCTTTATAAATGATCTAAGTAATATGAAAATGGGATTACACTAGTTCATAAGATATTGATGAGAAAAACTTTATGCTTCCACACAAAACGGTAGCTTACTTGGTAACCTTCTGGTAATTGTCCACACTCTACTTTGATATTCTCTTTCCAACTCATAACTACCCAATCTAGTTCACGTGAAACATTAAGATTGTATGGAATAAATTTTGACGTTCTCATCGAAATTAGAAATCTTATGTCTTCATTATTTTTTGCTCGTTTGTAAATTGACAAATGTTGAATAACAGTTTGTGGACCCAATAACCATTTGTCAGAATTTCCGATTTCTACACTTGCAGCACGAATACTTATTATGTAGTCACTATCGAATTTCAAATCTCCAGTGATATATGAGAAAGCCGTGCTATCATTAATAAATATTTGTAAATAATCTAAACCACACTTGCTTTGAATAATTTGAATTTTTACTGTTTCATTTGCACTATACATGTGATCGTGATTCGGATAAGTTGTCATTAAACTGTGTGTATGTTCGCTTTCAGCCTCCTGAATTGTAATTAAATACCCACCAGGTATTCCATTCCACTCCTCCGGAGAAAGAGGCTGAATTTTATAAATCAACAAAGTTTAAGTAGACAAAGTTTAAAAATTATTTCAATAAAAGCATCTGTGGTCAATAAGCTTACAGCTTTTAATCATCTGACAAAATTAACACATAATAAGGGGAAGTCATAGAATAAAGCACAAAAAAACGCCTTTCCATCAATATTCATATTCTAGTGACTATTGTAGGGCGTATTTAGCAATATAATGTATCTCTTTTATCTGGAAGTGAGCGATCGAAATATAAAAGTTTTGTTTTATAGCTTTGACGTACATTGATATGTCACTTTGTTCATTGACGTCCTCAGACGTAAAGTCGCTCCGTTCCCTTACCGTTCCACGTATCTCTTCATACAATGCGTGTAAGCACAGTTCATAAGTAATAGTTGAGAAATATCATCGGATATTAGGAGGCATCTCAAAACGTTTGAGATAAAAAAGAGACAATTTTAGTATCTTTAATCTGTTAAGACGAAAAATCATGTTTAAAACAGCATTGCTCACAGAAAATACCGTCTTTGTTACATTTAGCTTAGTTTCTAGGTTGTAAATGATTTTTTAATGAACCGTAATTTTTGAGCACAATTTGAGCAATCAGAATAGATTTTACGGTTAAAATCACGAATCGGTCTAAGTTTTACCACCATTAAAAACGTGGAAGTGCTGGACGACCTTTCTGTCCTAGTACAGGACTTTTCGGCAGTGCGCACCTAAGATCACGCACGCGGGACTTGAACCCAGGCTTTCAGTGGTGATCTAGCTCAGATCCACTCGTAATTTCTAGTGTAAAAATACTACAATCTCCACAATTCCCATGGTGATAATGGTAACTGACATTTCGAGTAAATGATAAGTGTATTTTTTACATTACTTATAGTAATACCGTCAGTGAAGTTGTAAACTAAAGACTGAATTTCTATTAAGTAAATAATTTGCTATTTAAAGTAGATTATGATTCACACAGAACACTTTGTTCTCTTGGAACAAAGAACTATTATTTACCCGTAATATAACTACGATTTAATTTTCATCGCTACGTCTTTTATTATTATTAACCTACAACTCTGTACTCTGTAAAAACAATTATTTAGAATAATCCATTTTGTACTGGTTGTTTGATGTTTAGGACCGTAATTGATCCACGTCTTATTGGCATATGTGCATCCTATGCAGATGACCTCAATATTACTTTAAGTCACAAACTTCCTAAACAGAGATGGATAACTCTATGACGATCGAAGCAAACGTTACTGGTTTCGAGTACTTGAGTGAACATCGAATCTGGGATGCAGGTACACTTTCTGACGGGTCCCAAGAAGGACGAAACGCGTGTCCCGGATTCCAATGTTGGTCACCATCCATCCCTGCTTATAATTGTTTATATTATTTTGAAATTTCAAACATATGGTCCAACAAATAATAATTTATATGATGAACATCTTTCAACTATTTGTCCTAATGAAAGTTAAGAACATTTTTTTATAGTTACTTGTAAGTAAATCATTTTGTGTGATATAAACAGTTTTGATTGCACAATTATTCACCGAAAAGAGAACACTTTGCTAAACTAATGTTTTTTTCATATATGTCTCAGTGGGTATATTCCGTTTAAAATAATATACATTTTAATAATGTTCGGTAAACTATTCAGAAACTGATTGTTTCAAGTAAATCAAATAAATAGTAACTACAAAATAATACTAAATAATGAAACAACCGCCCCACTATTATGTTAATACATCACTAGTTAGATCAGATTCGTGACAAACACAAAATTAACGAATGCTCTATTTTCTGTTATTGACTTTCATAAGACTATCCTATGTCTGACATTAAAGAGGAAGAATGTATTTGTAAAATCTCAGCGAAAGAATTTGACGTAAATCCAACGTTTCGCCTGGCAATCTAGTCCAAGCATTTTCAAGGAAAATATAATCAAACAACAAAATTATCGATAAACTTTGACCAGATCGCCAGGCGAAACGTTGGATTTACTTCAAATTCTTTCGCTGAGATTTTACAAATATATATTATTCCTCCTTAATGACTCACATTAACTCGGCGCCCAAATATTGTGAAACTATTCGTTCAAATTTTTGACGAAAGTTCTTATTAATATCTTATGTCTGTTATCAGTATAATTATTAAATATAAAAAAATTGGGTTATGAAAAGAAATCTAGCTGAATTATAATCGTCAAGCATTCCATATCCAAATTAAACCAATTGTATTGTGAATATTTAAAAACTTATCGGCGTTTATATTCCTTCTATCTGTATTTTATTAACTGAGTTCAAAAATAAAATAAAAAGCAATATATATTTGAATTTATTGGTGAACCATTTATCTATGTATAAATTACAGCAAAGTGATGTAAATTCTAATAGTTGAATTCATGAGACGATCTACGCTCAACAATGACTAGCTTCAAAATGGATTTTCTGAAGTTCTATTGGGAGACCGTGATCTGTGTAGTCCAATTTATGTGGAGTAGAGAGAGGTATCCAGTTCATACATTAAATAAAGGGTTGCGCAAGAGTATGAATCGGTTAAAGTTAAACATAACCAACATTAAATGCCACATCGGTGGTCTAGGGGTAAACCGTCCATGTACAAGACAGAAGGTAAGAGTCCCATTGCTGAGAAGTCTCATACTAGGACGAACCGGTCGTCCCGTCATTCCAGGTTTTCAGTGTTGGTCTAGCTTTAATTGACTTATGAATTCAACGATAAAAATACTACAATCTCCACAAATCCCTGTTCTGATAATAATAAAAATCCATAGATTCTAGTAATTACATATATTTGAAAGCCAAGTTATTCTGTGTCGGTATGCTTGAATAACAATTTATAAAGATTGAAATCAGTAGTATTTAAAAGACTAGTTAGTTTGAATGATATATTATAGGAAGAAAGATAATATTTAAACATATGAATAACAAATAAGCATAGGGATACTGATATTTCTTTTTAGTGTAGAATTAAAGTTTTATAGAAATTTCAATTCATAAATTATTCCAAACATACCTGCCATATAATTTTCATTTGATCTAAATTCAACATATGAGTAGATACTAATGATGGCGACACTGATGGCGGTTCACATTCAATTTTAAACCATTTAGATAAATTTGAATGATACAAAATTTTGTTAGCTATTTGGTTATAATTACCAAAAAGTAAACCGATCGGTTGCCAAACTTCAATTCGATAATAATTATAACTGGATAAATTAAATAATTTAAATGATAACGTCAATTGTACTCCTTCATTAACATTGAATTTAGTCGATTCTGTTAAAGATAATTTCAATGATGGACTAGTAGTATATTTATATGCTGTGATTATTCTCTAAAAGTGTTTTGTTATACAATTGGATAAATACAGAAATAAAAACAAACAAACAAAAAAAATTATTATTCATTCAGTAAGTTAAGTTATATACAAGAATGAAAACATTGAAAAACGTTTCTCATTTCTCTGATGACATTTAATTGACAAGATTGTAAGGTGGCACCAATTAGCGACAAATTAATTAATACATAGAATAGGAATAGTAAATCTTTTAAGAATATATTTTTAATTATTGTTTTTAGAATGAAATCATCAACTTTGAAATATTGACAGACAATTACAAAAACTACTTATATCAATAAATAAGTTATCAGAATTAAAACTTTGATAGTTGAGATCATTAGTCAATTGAAACAAGACTACCATGGAAAACCTAGAAGTACTGGACGACCGTTTCTTCCTATCGTGGGACACCTCAGGAATGCACATCCACGATGATGCTTCGCGAGATTCGAACTCAGGACCTATAGGCCTGACGCGCGAATCCCGTGAGACGGGATCGTGAATGCGCACTGCTGTGTTCCACAATAAGACAAAACAGCTATCCAGTGCATCAAGGTTTTCCATGGTTGTCTCGTTTCAATCGATTCATGATCTCAACTATTAAAATTATTATAATATCCACAAAAACCGCTTCTGAGAAATAAAACTGTACATCGTTATGAATGATTACTTTGCGCAAGATAAAACGATAATGTTAGAAATTAACTTTGTAGAAAAATAACGTAGAATATGTATACCGTTGGTGTGCAAAGTTATATTTTGCATTGATGATCTTATAGATCATTGTCTGATTCTGGTATAATTTGAAATAGATACTCTTCATGCGATTTCTTCAGTATTCAGAATTTGTTACGTCTTAAAGTATATCGGTACTTTTCAACAAAATACTGAATAAGTTGTGGCTTTGATACTTTAAAATCCTCTTAACTGTTATATATTTGAGAGACAGAGAAGCATACATACAGTAGAAGAACATATGGAACTCAAAGCCAAAATCTTTAATACGGACGTCAAGACAGTTCTAATGTATGGAGATGAATTTTGGAGAACTACTACAACCATCATCAAAAAGGTATACGTATTTAAAAACAATTGTCTACTCAAGATACTAAATGTCTGCTGAGCTGGATACCATCAGCAATAGACTACTGTGGGAGAGAACAAATCAACTTCCAGCTGAGGAGGAAATTGGGTAAAGACGTTGGGAATGGATGAGACATACATTACGGAAATCATCGAATTGTATCACGAAGAAATCCTTAACTTGGAATCCTGAAGGGAAACAGAAAAAAGGAAGATCAAAGAACACACTGAGTCGGGAATCGAAAGCAGACATCAAAAAAACCAATAACCACTGCAAACAACTGGAAAAGATTGTCCAGAACAGAGGTGAATGGAGAAGGTTGATGCTCGGTCTATGCTCCTTGACGTGAGGTAACAGGTGTAATTAAGTCAGTAATGATCGGACTATCATATAATCTTTGAAAAGTTGAAAATTTCATAAAAATCACTAATTCGTTGAATCTTTTCATTATTCAGTTATACTTCGATAAAATGAGATGGTGAAGATTTGTAGCTCAGATGGATGATTTTGATGGAGTTTTGTTCTCTGAGCTGGGTGGTTTGGTTGTGGAGATCTGAAGTTTGCGCTGATGATGTCGTTCAGAAGAACGATGAAAGCTCCACGACAAAACCATCCAGCTTAGAGAACAAAACTCCATCAAAATCATCCACCTGAGCTACAAATCGTCTCTACCATTCGTTATTTTATATAGATATATAACGCAAACATTGAAGTTAAGAACTGTGTTCCTTTACTTTTCATCTATTTCAACTCTCGAAAACTGTTCATTTGAAAATGGTCTATAATTCTAACTTACTGTTATGATAACAATAAGACTTCAAAAGTGTTATCAAAATCAAAGTATCTATTCAAATGATATAGTAAATAGAGGATTTAAATCTTGAACTACCCTTAGTATTATTAAATTTGACCTACCTACAACGATGACATTGAACTAAGTTGTGTGTACAAAACAAGATTTTAAACAAAGAATTTTAGTTTGAGTAACAAAACGAAAGAAACAACTAATAAACAATAAAGTACTTTTGTTTGATTTGATACAATACCTAGTGACAATAGTGCATAGTTAATAAGGGATGCTAATTTGAAAACTCTTATTTCACTCCTAAAATCTTTTATTTTCAGTGAATTACCATTCAAGATAGAATCGAATCGCAAATATTTGTGATTGTTATAAAACATTTTGCCGATATTTTTTTTACCGTTTGTATGTTTCATCATTTTAATATCGCTATTATCCTTCTTTTTAATATAATCACTGATCATTATATTTGTCTCTTTGTCTCACTAACTCTATATTTAAGAAAATCACTTGAATAGAATTTAGCTATAGTCATTATTGATTGATTACATTTCTAATTCTAATGCTGAATTGATAATTTATATCAAACTGGATTATTCAGTTCAGAAAAACACTGTTTCTATTTTAAGGATGATATCAAATTTCCAGGTAACACCAAGAAATTTATTGCTTTCACCTATTAAATAGCAATATATATATATATATATATATATATATATATATATATATATATAGGAAGGAACAGAATGAACGTGAATGCTAGAATTCTGGGATTCGATTAATAATTTCAAAAGGGTGATATTTCATGTTAGGTTTTTAGCTAAATTTCTGAAAGTAGAACTTTCTATTAACTTTCGTTTGTTGAACCTTGTAAGATAATGTTTAGAACCCCTCTTTCACATAGTAAATTGCACCGTATTATCAGTTAAAATGAAAATCTTATTATATTTATAGAAATTCATAGGTACTTAAACTTTATTATAAATTAGCGATATTAGATCTAAATATCTTGATCACATTTAGACATTGAATATTTGAGATAGTTTGAATAATTTTCTTAATTTATATTGAACTTGTTTTAAAATCAAAGTTTATTAAGGAAAAACACCTACAGAATGAGAAACACAACGACGTAACACTTCAAGGTTAATTGGCAAGTTGTTTCAGGAGACTTTATTAATATTAGTAACTTGTTATACTCTTCTAGAAAGAATGAATTTTTCGAAATATGTACGCTTGAGTAAACTGTAGACTGTTCGATATTCAATCGTTTGTCTGTTATACAGAATGTTTTATTTTAACATCAAAATTTATGATTATAGAAAACGCTTATATTTGTAAATAATATAAAGCAGTATTTAATAATAAACTGTTTATATAAACAAAGGTGTATAGTCTCTAGCAGTGGAATCCAAAACACACGTTTCATCCTATTTGAGACTCGTCAGCTGAATGTACCTACATCCCACAAGTTGTTGTTCACTCTGCAACCTGAACCCAGTAACGATCGCTTCAAACACTATCACGTTATCCACTTAGCTAATGAGTCTTGATAGCCACTTGCTTGTGTAATAGGTGAAGTTTGAATTCACTTGTTATTGTTTACTTGAATCTTCCCATTGATGGTTAGGACGGCAATTGATCATTATCTTTTTGGCATATGTGCATATTGCGAGTATCCATCTTTGATTATATTGCTCGTGAATTAAGGCAACATCGAAGCAATACGCACAGTATGCACAAACGCTAACAAAAACCCGATCAATTGCAGTTTTAAACATCAATGTGAAGATTATATTTTAGTCATAAGCATATATCATAACTACACAAAAGATTTCTTCAAATATAATCAACATCTGGTACGATAAATAATTAAACTATCATAAAAGATTGAGTTTCAATTAATTAAAAAAGTGAGTTACCCAATTCAAAGAGTTTATATGATCATTTCCGTTTAAAGCTTGATAACCATTCAAAGGAATTTTTTGTATTTTTATTGGCCATTTACTCTTTTCAATTAATTTTATTATTCGTGAAAAATCGCCTACAACTGGAGTAGATTGGTTGGAATGAGAAATATTTCCATCTAATTTTAGATTGAATTCAATTGAAAATTCTGCATTATGAGCCTGAAATAGATTCCGTTAAAAAAATGTTGATGGGAAAGATGAGGATTCTTGAATACCTTTTTTTAGAGAAACAGTTATTTCGAAATTTGTCTTCTGTGGTTAAAAGTTCCTGAAAATCTTGTGAAGAGTTATAGTAAAGGTAACCTGCAGCTTAAAAAACAGATAATGTTTTAAGTGATTACTACCCCTTAATAAAAAAGTTTTAAACAAGAAAGGTGTTTTTTTATATAGAATTTAATCATAGTACCGTTTTCAAGTATATATTTTCTCAAGTTGAGGAATACTGATCAGTTACTAATTTCCATCATGAGATGTGTTTCATTAGAAATATAGAGTAACACAGTACGTTGTATTTAAATATAATGTGGCCTAGATATCACATAAAAGACAGTTATTCGTACATGGTCAATGATATGTGAATGAATAAAGAGAAGTAAGCCTGTATAATGTCTCTGCTAGACAGAATCTCTATTACAAAAAAGTCGATAAAATAGGGTTTTGATTCAAATATGGAATTCGAACTCATCTTAATGTTCCATAAATATGGAATCAAAGAATTGTTGAGATGTTTTCCTAAAGCTCCTTCAATCAGTGTTCTATAAAGTAAGACTTAGTATTAGATGAAATGTGTCTTGACTCAGTCTTGCTGACCATTTAAGAATACAATCAGTGAAGAGACTGTTAGGTATATATAGTATATTTATTATTTTACAGCATGAAAGAAGTGTTCAACCAATATTGAAAAGAAAGATGAAATAATGCTCAATAACTAGTTGATAGCTCACTGAACTCAAAAGATCAAATGTATAACTCATAGACTATGGAAACGAAAAGTATTGACTTTGAATCCCAAAGTGAACATCCGTCTATTCTATGTAAAACTTGTAACAGGCTTCTTATATGTCAACAAATCTCAATTGTAAATGTCAACATCAGGATAACTCTAATTTTTAGTAATTATTTTATGATTATGAATTGACGGAAAATGTATTATGTATATCTCATCATCATTGAAGTTTGTTTTGTGCCTTGCTTATTTCTTCTGAACAAAACAGAAAAAAGTGTATCTCAGGTGTAAGAAAAAAAAGAACAATACTTTGTCTTTTGTTTTTCTTTCTTTACTGTGTTATTTTCTAAAATGTAAACAGTAAAATTGGAAAATAATAAATCATGATTTTGTTTGTTTTTTTGAAAGGCAAATAAATTTCTGACATAGCTCCCTATATGTATCAATGATCGGTTACAAGTAGAGTGGTACAAAAATATGTAGTCAAACGATTAATATATATATATGTACCACAGTATAATGGCTTATATGTGACCAAATGAACACATAATCATGATTAATGAACGAGATAAAATCGAAGGGAAAGTGGACTATGCACAGACTTAGATTAAAGATATTGACTGGAAAGAAAATCATGAAGTTGGATAGAATTTTTTAAGTTTGACAACAGAAAAAGAAATCATTCTAAAGAAACTGAATCTAATAAAACTAAAAAAAATTAAATTCATATAAATAAAATAAAGTGATAGTTTTTTGTGGTCCAAAGATAGTTTGTATCAAGGACTGAATGTGATTCAACAGTTGAAGAAAAAGAAGAAGCACTGGATAGCTGCATTTTAGAGTATCCATTAGAAAGCATACTGACGACAAAGTCAGGGTTGAGGTTCCGAGTCTAAAAAAGTGTTCATCATGTGGTTTGTGACTTAATTTCAGAAAACTTCGAAAAACGTCTACTAATATAAAGTAACTTGTGCCATTCACCTATGTTGAAAGTGGAATCTTTGCTTGTCAACCTTTAACAGTTGAATTCATAAGTCATTCTAAGCTAGATCAATTGAAATTATGGATTAACACTGTTGGATGCTGTCTCGGTGGTCTAGAGGTTAAACGTTCGCTCGCGAGACCGAACGTCTTGGGTTCGAGTCTCACGTGTACGACCGTAGATGTGTACTACTCTTAACCTCTTTTTGATAGACTGTATATTTAAAAAGAATTATTCAACTTGAACAGATGAAATTTTATAAAACATATTTTATCATTATTTCATCGATATTCTTTAGCATTACGTAATTTCATAGAAAAACACCTTTCACTCTATTTACATCAGTATTAAATAATATAATTTCACTACCTTAATATTGTAAAATATCAAGTTTCACCAAATGCCTATTACACATTTACAGTAAGTGTATCAGCTAATTTCAATCAGTGGTACAATTACTAACGAGATCATATCCAGAACATATCTCCTTATTAGGAAAAAGAAACTTACTATGTTGTTTCACAGTAAACAACTTTGTTTCAGGAATAAAAAAGAAATAATAATTCTTACATTTATCTTTGAAATAATTGGTTCACTGAGAAACTGTATCCGAGTATTATTTAACCATTTAAATATTTTCTCTTGATGTTTATTTGAATGTATTAAATTAATCCATTGTATAAAATTTTGATCGGTATACTGATGTTTGTATTTCAATGCTGGTAATAATGATGTAATGCCTAATTGTAAACTAACTGGACTTAATCCAGCTGTATTCAATGCAAACATTCTTATTTGATAAATATGTTTATGAATTAATGATTTAATATGTACACGATTAATTGTTCTATTTAAGCTATAATAGCCAGCATACTTTCTATTGTCATAAGTTCTAGTTTGTATATATTGGATAAAATTAGTATCTTTTGTATAAGCTGATTGTAAGTGGTCTATTATTGGATATTGATGAATTGATTGTTCATTCCAATAATTAATATAATTATCATAACTACTGTTTTGGTTAATTCTTTGATTCATAAAAGTCAGTGTTGTATTATATTCACCTTCTACATGATCATATTGATGGTGAATGTCAATTAATGAATCAATAGGTTTAATCTACAACGAAAAAGAAAGGTAACAATGAAATGTGATAAAAGCCACAAATAAATCATAAGTATATTTTAGTGAAGTTTATGCTGTTTTATTTGTTTCATTTATCTTGATCAAAAGTAAAACACAAATGTAACTTATGAGTATTCATTGAAAAGATACAGAATGCTGTAAAATGAACTTGTTAAGTAGAAGCATTTGTCATCACATATTATTATCGACTATGGAACAATAAGAAGATTTGAGCACTAAACAGTCATTATTATCCCGTTATGGGATTCACCAACAGTACATATCAACGATATTTCCAGCAATCTAATCTAATATCATATGATGTCGAAAAGAATTCATTGTTCTTCGATCATTAACGTAAACATTAATAAATTATCACTTCCGAATCCAGTCCATTTTTTACCCATTAAATGTCACTGATATCTGACTAATCTAGTTAAGGTCACAAGTTATTTATAGATATGCATTAATTTGTCTTCGAATCAGTTATTATTGTTCTCTTGAGTGTTTTACAAACATTAATTCAGCATGAAATTCATCATGATTTTCTCAGAACTACTAAAATAACTCTTATAAGCTTTCATTCATCACAATCATAACCTACGTTCTGTATCCGCTATCAGTTAATTGAAGAGTATGGAATATTTAGGCATTTTTCATTATCAACAAATATTGGTAGTTGTCATAATTTGTGGCCTTGTGCCCTATTAATACATAACGTGATGATACCACCAAATAGAGAACAGTGATTTATCGACCGGACCAATGACTCTTTAAACCTGTACGAGCAGTCTAGAGACTTTATCGGCCTTTCTTCCCGCCTAGCCCTGCCTGTTAAGTCCAAAACACCAATCTCAGCCTCTGAGATATGAATCATGTATTTCAAACATACCGGGTTTGTATACATACTAAACAGACCACATCGCACCATAAAATAGAAAATAACACTTGTACAAGATCTAGTCAAAAGTGGATGTGAATGTGGAAGACTGTAATTAATAGACTGAGCATAACTCAAGAATTGGAAATCGTATAATAATAGTTTATAGGTCAAAATAAAGCTTATAATAAGAGAAACATGAAAATGCATAGTATAGCTACTTAACAATTATACAATAAATATATATGCATCGTATTGATCAATAAATGATTCTCAAGAGTTACCATTCATAATTCTCGTTGGGGTATTATAGTAATTTTGTTCAAACCTGAATCAGGGGAAAAATTATTTATATTATTAACTCCATACATTTTCCTGTCACTCATATCTATAAAAGACTATAACGCATTAAATGAATTATGTTCAGTCAAAATGTGTGTGATTTTAAATGTTTGACACATTTTTAATTCATTTTTATATTGGTTGTTTGAATCTTTCCATTAATGTCTAGGACTACAATTAATCAGTATCTTATTGGCATATGTGTATCCTGTGTGGATTGCATCGATACTGGCTAAAGCCACATGAATCATAAACGAAGATGGATGATGATATCCTGGATTCCACTGCTAGCAATCATCCATCTTTACTTATAATGGTTGACAGTTTGAAGACTAACCTACTATTGAAGTGATTTACATATTCTCTTACAGTTACCATAAACCTATTAACTTCTTATATTACTTTTATTGCTTACTGATCTTATTCATGAATATATTTATAGTGCATTTTATTGAATACAAATGCGTAATAGATCTTTTTAAAAAAACACGAAAAAAAGGAAGCTAATCATAAATTATTCGAATGCTGGTCAAACGTTTGCACCATAGTTCATTTATCTAGTAGTAAGTATAATAGACAATTGAATATTTCATGTTTACTAGGTTCCAGCACGTGTATCTTATTTATTTATTAGTAGACTTGTTTTAATGTTACTCATGTATGAATTAATTATTTAAATATGTAAATTAATTTATATTTTATTTATTAAAAAAACAAAATAATTTAATAATTCGGTTTACTTTCTTTGTGTCATTTAACATTTTTATCAGAATGGAGTTTTGTGGAGATTGTGGTAATTTCATAGTTGAATCCATGAGTTGATTAAAGCTAGACCACAATTGAAAATTTGGAAGCAACAGACGGACGTTTCTCCTCAACAATGCGAACTCACGATCCCACACTTGTGGATCGAACCCAGGATCTTTGGTTTCACGCGCAAACGCCTAACCTCTAGATCACTGATTCTGCATCCAACGGTATAATGTCTAACTTCAATCAATTCACGAAATTGAGCCATCGCCCAGCATTGTATTCAGTAGGCAACTGCCTTACGACAGACACCATTGAACTCCACTGGTCACAGCTTCTCCTGCGAGCTGGACTGTGGATGCGCGCTGCTGATAAGTGACATACTGGGGTAAAACAGACCTCCGGTCCTTCCAGGTTTTCAATGTTGGTCTAGCTTCAATCGACTCACGTATTCAACTATGAAATTACTTAACATGTTCACTAGTGACATAAATGAATGTCTTATTTGATTGAGATGAGGCTCAAAAAATGTATTTCAAACTACGAACTTTTTTGTGTATATTCTTTGCTTTAAATTTATTAACTTTATACAGTAGCTCTCATTTTAGTATTCAACCGATTAGCATAAACTATCAAGTAATGAAAATCAAAAGAGATCAGATTAAATTAAACTACAAATTGAAAGAAGTTAGGGATTTGGACTAATAGATTCCATTAAAGCTCGATTTTGGCTTTAAAAAAAGTTGAAATAACCGTTTACTCGTATTCAAGACTGTCTATCTAGATGTATCTGTTAGTGCGTTCATGTTCACACTGGAACTTGAAACCGATGTTCTTCTCTTCAAACGTCCAATATATCATCCACTGATATTTTGACTTAAAACAAGCCGTTGTACCATCTAATGACTGGTAAAGCACAATAATTCAGTAAATAACGCGTTTTTCGTATGAGATAGAAGTATTGGATTCAAGCTCAATTGTGAAATTTAACATGAATTCAAGGACATCTTGCTGACAAGCCCGGTACACGATAAAATCAGCATCTGGGGTTCCACTGTTAGTATATATTCAGCTTTACTAAAAACTTGTGGATATATAGCAAAATCGAGGTAATTCGCTTGGGATATACATGATACTGATAAAATTAATCCTATAAATATTTAATTTTTGCATTCAACAGAATTTTGAATTACTTAATAATCCATACCGGGTTTTCTTGGTGAGTTACACAATCGTTCTTCACGTAAATTCTCTTGCTAATTTATTACCATTCGCCTTTTTAATGGAAGCTAATCAGTAGTCATATAAGAACAATTCAGTAGGATCTAATAAGCCGGTTTGGTGTGTTCAGTATCAAAATATATTATTGTAATCGAGTTATATGCAGAATTTTGTTCTTTTAAGCTTTTGTTTGTATAACTGCAAATGTCGCTGATGAAATTTTTATGCTAAATGGTAATTATTTATTTCGAAATAAAAAGTAACAGGCTCCAATTCAATGGTTCAGATCGTAAATATCTTTGACATGAGGACTTGAAGATTTTAGGTACGGTAGCCAGAGAGTGTTCATTGCTAAAGCATCTTGAACTAGCCCACATTTTATTGAGTTTCTGTTAATCGCGGTTCAGTTGGTGTAGGTATCTACTACATTTTTCAAACAACCGAATCGTTTTTAAAATGTAAGTTGGCGTGAAGCGGGATTTCGGCACGTTAAAAATACATCCACTAATCCGCATATACTTTATGAGGTATGTGAAAAGTAGTTGCATGAAGTAGATGACAAACTTGTAAACTTTGGTAAATCTTACAGATTATTTACCATTTATTGGTAATCAACTGTTTCACTTGATGAGTGTGATGCAGAATTAACTTGAGTCCTTGAAGCGAGTAAAAAGTGTGTGGATAATTTTAGTGCTCTTCATGTTTAAATCTATCATTTCACTTGGTCGCAATCTTTTTCAAATGCTTTTCAGATCGTTAATCGCCTTTCACTCAACGATGGTGAGAGATGTTGAAATATGGATTGATAAACATTCCTACTATGTCCTATGTTGACTTCAACAGACAAGACACTGTAGCAAAATTTAAAACTATGTTTCAATGTCAGGCGGTTAGTAGTATTCGGAAGTAATCCTTCAGTCTACTAAGGACTGGCGTCACCGCCATTCACAGTATGAGACGTTATCAGTGAGCTGTTGCTTCCCCGAATAACTTTTCGAAGAACCAAGATGTTTACATGATCTGTTCAGTAAGCAATGTGGAGAACAATTCTGGTCAAAATAATGGTGCTTTGTACAGAAATCAGTTTTCCAAATATCGACATTATGTTATTATTGGAAATGAGTAATACTAAACAACCAGATAAATACTATCACGTGAAAGAATGAAAATGAGCAAATTATTGTAATAACTTGGTATTTTTTGAAAGGTTTTCAGTTTGAACTTATTTTCTTGTCAAATTATTTATCAATTAAAAGGCTAACAGGATTAAACATTTTATAACTTACCTCAGTATAATGTAGTATATATTGTAATATTTTTCCATTTGGTTTTTCTGGTGCATCCCATTCAACAATAAGACCATCTCTACCATCAGTGTTAACTATTAAATTGATAATTCGAGAAGGAACTACAATTTGAACATTTCGAAAGTAAGTTTTAATCATTAGCGATTCAAGGAATTTTTAAAATTATCATTCTTGATTGAACTAAAATCTGTTTTACAGGATAAGTGCAGAACAGTCCACACTTCAGCTACGCATAGTTAGGAACTCGTTTAAGAAACTACTGAAGAAAGTAGAATGTTTAATTCACAAATATTTTTTAGTAACTAATTTCTATATCAGAACTATCATAGAATATAACGATTTAATTTTCTGGTTAAAATTACTGAAATTCCAGTTGAACATGGGGTTCAAAATAGGATTTTCAACTCTCCTGGATTTTTACGTTGGCCAATTATAATTAGGTTTGTCAATGATCTTTTATTAAACCATAAACACTTCGTCACATGACTTAACTCGGAAAGACTATGTTCTTCTTTTGTATACAAACAGAGCTATGGATACCACAGACTGTTCAGTATGATATTCTCTAAATTTCATTCCGTTACAGATTTATCGATTGTTAGTAAACAATATACTTAAATGGAGGGATTACCACTGCCTCACCCCTCTGATGTATACATTTATCCAGAGTGGAAACACGTGATTGAGCACTAATTATAGTTTTGAAAGTTATATAACTCCACATAAGATACCATTCAAGCTTATTGTATAGCAGTACAGTTAAGAGGATTACATTTTGTGGAGGTTTTATTGAGAAAATAAGAACACCACTTGAAATGAAATGAAATTGAATGCTTCTTTTTTTTATAAACTCAAGATGTAATTTATTTAAGATTAAAGAGGTTTCTGGTACACTTGATGTTTGATATTCATAAGAAGAAAAAGTTGAATGATAAGTATATATCAATGATTGCATCATTGATTTAAACAGAATTCGATATAAAGAAAGATGATGTCAATTATCATGTAAAATATATCAATTCATTAAGGAGAACAATGTTATTAAGTATTTCAATCAAGAAAACTAGATTGAAACCATTCTTTAGCTATCAATATCATTTACAGAACCATAGTAAACTTTAGAACGATAAATAACTCCCAGTTATTGATATGAATGTTTATAGAAATTGAATAGAATAATACCCACTGCTTTATTTTATTCTAAAAGTGACTGTAGATGTTTGAACACTATTTTTCTGTGAAAACTATTTTATCACTTAATTCGACTTGCACTTAAAATCATGAATTGATCAATGTTAGATCATGATTGAAAACTTGAAAGTACCAGAAGGCCTTTTCGTCTTAGTCTGGTATTCCTCAACAGTGTGCATCCACGGTCATGAACATAGAACGCATGACCTAATGACAGTAAAAGGGAAAGTTTATGAATAAAGTAGTTCAATAGTAAAGTTTTTGATAATTTATAACTTGCCATCTTCAGTTGTACGAAACACCTCTGCTGGTTTACTGAACGGACCAACTCGATTGATATATACGTAAGCGATAAACAATTCGTATAAAGTATATGGACTAAGTGAATTCAAAGTAATTGAAATCTGATGGTTACTTCTATTCACATTTGCACTGAACAATACTGTGGAGTTTTCGAAGGGGTTTAATTCGTTACAACGCTGATTGTTAATCATGTTTTCATGGTTAACATTAAAGTGTTCATCAGCAAACGTTTCAGCGTCCGTGACACATTCTAATGGCAAATACACTTGCAAGTCGGAACAACCAGGTGGATCAATGCAAGATAATTTAATCTAAAGATGAACAGAGAAAATTAAAAGAACATTAAGGAATATGCACAAAAGAGCGAAAATAATCAGCTAGGGTGTATCAAATTTTTCTACATTGTTAGCTTGTTTCCGAAGCTTTCATTATATTTTTTACTAAAATAGCCAAGACCTTCTAAAAACAGAACTATCTGACCTAGAAAACGAAACACACATGAAAGTATATCACTGGGTTTTTTATTTTATTACTCATTTTAGTTTACTATAGATCATTATGGTTATGAAAAATTCAGCACAACACGTGCTTAACAAACAGAAAATTCACTACTCAAGAAGCAAATTTTAACTGCACTGAAACTGATAGTTGTTAAGGAAAAAAGCTAGTATACCATGTCTTTGGAAATTGAACAACAAAAGTGGGAGGTACTGGACAGTTATTTATTTAATTCATGGAACTACTAAGCAGATCACTTCCACGACTTCCCTAGATCGAATCTACAGGATGTACTCAAAAGTGGTGAAATTTCAGAGGAAATATTTGAAGATTTATAAACCTTAACCAGTGAAGCTCGACTATGTAAGGCTTTGACCACTTATCACAACATGGATTACTTAACAAGCTATACACTCTTTATAATATAAATAATAACAAATATTCGGAAAAAACTTAGTACAGAATTTAACATTTTCAGGATTTGTACTTAATACGCCTTTCACTATTCAATAGTCCATTATTTTTTTTATCTTCTACATCTAATTGTTAACCGAGAGAACTTCCAGCCACAGTGAAATACAGTGGTATAGTTAGTAAAATGCATTTATAAAGTTGATATTTTTTCTAAAAATGGGCTCGTATATTGTCAGTCTGATAATAGAATTACATTTTACTAACATTAGGTGAGTTAATATTTAAACAAAGCACACACATCAAGTCGGTATAAACCATTTCAGTACACTATTTTATCACTACTCAACAATGTAGAACACTTTCATATCCGTAATAACTATGTGGTGTACACTACATATGCAGATATATTTAAGTAATGTGTAGCAGCAATCGGAAACAAAAATGTTTGCCAGCAAAACATTAAATTAAAAAGAAAAGGAAGCAAAACGGAGAGTAAATGTAATGACTACAGAATTGAATTAGGCATTAAGCCTGTAATAGACAGCTGAAGGAAGACGCACAAATAATCCATTTAATGTATGATTTTCATATTTTATATAGACACTGTACAATTTTGCATATAATAATAAATTGGTTTATCGTACCTATGTTCTCGTTTACTAAAACTACATTAACAACGTTAAGTATATAAAACCAAAAGTTCAAATAAGCATGTTTGCTTTGAAGTATACTTACTAAATAACCTTTCATTTGTTCAGTGTAATATTCATCTCTATCTATATAGTCACTGAAAAATGATATTTTCACTTTATTTGCTTGATGTACAGTAACAGATATGAGTGACGGTGTTTTTAATAATTCATGTGGAAGAGTTTGAACTTGGAGAACTTCAGAAAATGTTCCACACTCGTAATCATTACATGCTGAAATCTTTTTTCAGAAAATCAAAAAATTATGTTATACACAATGAAGCATTTTCAAAAAAATGTCTAACACATGAAAAAAAAAGAAACTCACTTGAAACTATTGGAATATCAATCAAAAAATATTATTAGTAAAAATCAGTCTTTGGGATGAAAAGAATTGATGTCGCTGAATTATCTAAGAAAACCTACTTCATATTCACAATACCATTTCACTACTATTTCCGAAGGGAGAAAACTGTATAAAACCACTTCAAGATCTATAGAACCAACAAAGGGTTTATACAAGTTGATACACATGCGTAAATTCGCAAATAAAATCATAACTTCTAAACATCTTTATCCTAATAATAACAGTGTGACTGATTATCTTAGAATCAATCATCCTTGTCTGAATGTTCTAACATTATTTTCGACTTTTCCGGTCTAATAAACTCCTTTATCCATAACCTAAAATTGACAGATTCAGCAACTAATTCTTGTAACAAATTCAAATAATTTATTGTTACTATGGTAAAATGATGCCCCCAGAATCTTGTCGTAAACGCTAGAACTTTCATAAAATTGGTATCCTTTACAAACTTGAAAGAAGATCGATAGTATTTGATGAATGCATCAACTAGTTGCGTTTCATTGCTTCCATTCCAAATACAGAGATTCCAACATGTTTAATTATCTGCAATTAATTATATAATCTTCAATTTGGAAAGTTCGTTGTCGGTGATGAATGCCAGAACCGAAGTTCACTTTTCACAGAAAAAAGCTAGTAACACCGAAATTAATACGAACGAGTTTCAAACACCTCAATATTTTTTATTCATCTTATAAACATTTGACAGACTATTATATTATTGACAATTTATGCAACTCAATAAATCTGAATTACATTATTTCTTCTTTGTTATGTTCTTTGTCATGATATTCTCAGTTTCGTTTTAAATATCATACTAGTGGATAGCAAAACCTATTTAAAAAATAATAGTTCATCTACTTAGTTCTCCAGAGAAGTATTATTAAACAATCAGAGGTAATCTCGAGGACACCTTGATTGACATAAGGTTCATGCTGGTTTGGTCTCGCTAATAAGTTTTGACAATCTGAAGGTCAATGATAGCCCCTTCGTGATTCGAACCAAAGTCATTCAGTTTCAAACCCTGAGACGTTTCAGCTAAACTAGATGATTCACTACTGACTTTCAGCACAACTGATTGATCACTGACTTATGTTAACCACTGACCAACGACAAATATGACGCGTGATAACACCTAAATAATAAAAATAACTTACTTTTAAATTATATCTTGTCGATGGTTTTAAATTGGTCAACTCGTTTTGTTGTACAAAACTGTTTATATTAGAACATTTTTTCACTTCCACAAAATCACTATTCTCAATCCAATAATATAACTATAAAATAAAATTACACAACTAGAATTAGCATCATAAAAATACCAAAAAGAAAACAGTTTAGTCACTATTTCAATTAATCATTCATAGGGATATTCATTTTCAACAAACGATATACTACTGCTTAAATGTTTATCAATTTTTAAGCAAAATTACTATATTGACAGCTGAAATCATGAGTCGATCTAAGCTAGAACGGAACACCTGGAAGCACTGGATGGCCAGTGTAGCAGCAGTCTCTACATCAGTAGGCCTCAACATACACAAGGGGAAAACCAAGGCCCTCAAATACGACACGGAGAACAGCAATCCAATCACTCTTGATGGCGAAACTCTGGAAGATGTAGAATCCTTCACATACTTGGGATGCATCATAGATGAACAAGGAGGTTCAGATGCAGACGTAGGGGCGAGGATTAGCAAAGCAAGGGCCGCATTCCTACAATTGAAGAAAATATGGGACTCAAAACGACTTTCAACCAATATCAAAGTGAGAATTTTCAATACGAACGTCAAGGCAGTTCTACTGTATGGAGCTGAAACTTGGAGAACTACAACAACCACAATCAAGAAAGTACAAGTATTTATAAATAACTGTCTACGCAAGATACTCAACATCCATTGGCCGGATACCATCAGCAATAGCCTTCTGTGAGAGAGAACAAACCAACTTCCAGCTGAAGAAGAAATTAGGAAAAGACGATGGAAATGGATAGGACATACACCACGCAAATCGTCAAACTGCATCACGACACAAGTACTAACTTGGAATCCTGAAGGGAAGCGGAAAATAGGAAGGCCAAAGAACACATTACGTCGGGAAATAGAAGCAGATATGAAAAGAATGAATAATAACTGGGAAGAGCTGGAAAGGACTCCCCAGGACAGGGTTGGATGGAGAATGCTGGTGAGCGGCCTATGCTCCTTCACGAGGAGTAATAGGCGTAAGTAAGTAAGTAAGTATGGGACTCTTTACCAGTGCTCATCCACGATCCCTTATACCAAACTCAGACACATGACTTTCGGGCTCTCGTACGAACGCTTAACCTCTAGCCCATCTAGTCAGAGTTCAACGGTGTTAACGTCTAACTTTAGTCGTTCCATAATCTTGAGCGACCACCTTTCATTTATGTTAGATTGCAATTAAATGTGAAGAAATGGTATTTCCTTATTAACCAGTGTGCGAACAAAAACCTTTTTCTGAGTCCTGAGTGTGGGATGACGGATGAGCACTGCTGAGCAGTCTCATAATAGGACGAAATGCTCATTCAGTGTTTTCAGGTTTTCAATAGTGGTCTAGCTCAGATCAACACGTGAATTTAAGTTTGAAAATACTACGATCTCCACAAATCCCCATACTGATAAAAATCAATTTGTATCATGTAAAATTCATCATTTCAATCCGAGAATGAATAATTGAAATTCTCAAAGTAGACAATAACAAAAAGTAACTATCACTTTGAAATAAAACCACATGAATATTTATGAGATACTACCTACCTGTATAAGAAATATAGACAAATAAATAGAAAGAAATTTAAATAATGAGTGGCAGTTACCTACTGATGGAAATGGAAGATGGCCGCGCAATATAGTGGATTGACTGAAGTTAGATGTTAACAAAAATGAATACCGCCGCAGTGCTCTAGAGGTCAAGCGTTCGCTCATGAGACCGAATGTCCTGAGTCCGAGTTCCGTGCGTAGGATCATGGATGTTCACCGGTAAGGAATCCCATACTAGGACTAAACGGTCATCAAGTGCTTTCGGGTTTTTAACAGTGGTCTAACACTGATCTATTGACGTTCTCAATAAAATTTATATTTTTTTATTTATATGAATTTGAGGCAACCCTTAAAGGATTTGTTAATGTACAAAATTGTCTATGGAAACATTTACTTATCAACGATTACAATAATTTCCGTTTAAAATCAGTAGTAGTTTTGCCACAATTTCTAAAGAACTTGTTCCAATCTTCAATGAAATCAGAGATAAGGAAGAAAAACAGATGTCACTCGCTAGTTTGTACAATAAGAACTTTATTGAACACTCAGAATAATTTTCTTTGTAATTACTAAATCTATAGGGTTACATGGTAGCGAATAGGCTTATTTGTTATATGGTTTAAAGTTTTGTATCTTCATTGTTGGTATATGAAATACACATACTTGTAATATAAATCGAGTGTTATTTATGTAAATGGATTGTACAATTAAGAATAATGAGAAATATTAAACATTTTGTAATGAAACACTTGTAAGTTGAAACTAATCTAACAATTCTACTAATATGGACCACATAAGTAATGTCTACAGTCCAATATAAGAAAACTGAAGATTGAGAGAATAATGATTGATTCAATTTTGTTAGATCTTAAGGTAATAACGGTTGTGTGTCTGAAAGAATAAAATCCATCAAATCATTATTTGTAAGATGTATAACAAAATAATTTCAATATCATTGACAGATATTTCATTAGCATGGGGATTGTGGAGATTATGGTATTTTCATAGTTGAATTCATGAGTCTATCTAAGCTAGATCACCATTGAAAACTTGGAAGTACTGGATGACCGTCTCGTCCCAGCATGAGACTCCTCAGCAGTGGACGTTCACGGTCTTGCATGTTGGATTCAAACCCGCGACCTGCTCTCTCGCGTTCAACCGCGTGACCTCTAGCCGGCATCCAAAGGTGTTAATGTTTATCTTCAATCCGGATCGTTGATGCTCACAGCCGAGTCGCATACTAAAATGAAACATACAATCAATGCTTCCAGATATTTCATCATTTATTTTGAATTTCTGTGTTTATTTTTTAGTGTTAAATAATTAGTGAAACAAAAGGATACATTATTAATGGCCAAAAAAACTAACCTGATATTCTTTAACTAAGGATAATGATAATGTATTGGTTTGCAATGCTGCTGCCCAAAGAACATGAATAGATGTGCTTGTAACGTTTATTAAATACAGTTTCATAATAACTTCACTTAATGCTGCTTAAAAGTAAGGAAGATAAATAAGATATTAGTAAATCTATTAAGAAAATAAATTTACTATCATAATTTTGAGGAAGATCAAGAAACTAAAAAGCTGAAATCGAACATTGTTATTATTTTTATGCACTTCTTGAAACACTGTACAAATGACCATACGTTTAACGAAACTGTCCAAAGAATAGTTTCATTTAGTTTTGTTTATTCGAAAAAATATATTCCTTATAGAAAACGATCAAGTAGTGGCGTTTAAAAATTTAAAAAAAATAATTAACAATGTCTACTTTGTTTGATACATGTCTTAGTTTAAGAATACCTCTTCGTTTGATTAGGAAATATAGGTAGATATCTATTATTAAGTACATAGAAAATATGAAGTACAAACTTTTGTTAACTCTGAATTCAGATTGAATCAGTCACTGATCAGAGGTTAGTTTATTGCTTGTTACAGTCTACAAATGAATGTTTTCTTAAATCTGCTTATTCGTTGAATAGTATACTAAAATCGCGCATTCTGTATTGATGGGTTCCGTTTAAAGAAATTTTAAAGTAGCAAGTGCATATAGTTACTTGTAAAGTATGCAAAATTCTTTTTCAATAAAATTTTTACTACTGAACATCAAATTCAATGAAACAACTCAAAACAGGTCCCAATATCTCATCCTTAATCAGGATTATTTATTTTAGTTAAATGTTTTAGCTTAATATATTTTATGTTCTATCACTGATTTCATGCTTTTATTCTTCTGTGTGAATCCTGTTTCGTTTTTGGGAAAACTTCGCATTATTTACACCCATGAAAATGTCTACTTTTAACTTAGATCATGTATTGATTGCATCAGAAAACATCAACCTTTTTGGAAGCTCTCTGAATACCTGTTTTTGTTGATGAACTAACACAATTTCGATAAAAAGTAAAAAGCCACAAAAATCATTTTTGCAATTATTAAGTTATTAAGTGTTTTAAAAATATAAACGTAAGGTGTAAAGGACTATAAATGATGAATGAAAGACGCGTTACAGTCACTTTTGTGCATATTTGTGGATGTCGTTAGTAAATAGCGTAGTGTATGATAATTTGTTGAACGAGATGGCATATTAATGTGAACACTGACTACGGTATCCAGTTGTATTCGCCTAACGAGTTCTTAACAGTGTAAACAAAATACGTCCTAGACCACACTGCTGTCTACTAACAAAATAAAATTGAGTATGTTGGCCGGAAACATTATTACGAAAAGTGTTCTAATGAAATTTCGCTCTAATAAGGTAGCAGCATTTGATTAGTACTTTTTATTCATGCACGTCGAGTTGTTTTCTATCTGGAAACAGTTTATTATCGAATAAAATTTCCCTTGGAAACCTGAAAATGAAAGTACTAATCAAACTCCTATACATACATCCAACAATCAGTTAAAAAGGAAAATTCACAATTTGATAATCACTTACTATTGGATAAATGTGATACTGAATAAAAAACAGAATTAGATTTTTTACTCCATCCAAGAAAATTTACGGAAGATAGACTGATACAATATGAACCAGTCTGAAAGACTATTGATATATTATATATTATATATATATAACGATCATTTATTGGATTTTTAATAGTTTCATTTAGATTTATGACACTGAATAGTTCCCATTCTTCATCCATGATTAGTTCACAATCTGTAAATGAGATAAATTAGAAAATAAGAATGGAAAGTTTTGATGAGTAAAAAGCTGAAGTGTAATTCTCGCGGTTTTAGAGAGAAGCCATGGCCATGTGTTGGACAAAACTCAACACAAGGCATTGGGAGATGATCACACACGAACTTAGATAATAAAACTGTTGAGTCCCGGCTAAGTGGAGAAGAGGTTTGTTGTCCGCTCGTGAGATCACTGGTTTTGGGTGCGGTCCCTTTCGACATAGTTGTAGGTACGCAGTCCCATCTTATGATAAAATGACTGTTTAGTGCTCCTTGGTCTCAACTGGCGATCTAGCTAAGATCGATTCATGAGTTAAACCATGAAAATTCTACATTCATCACAAAATCATGTACGAATAAAAATGATTACGTTAAACGCGTCATTGTAAGATCGATAAAGTACTTTCCAACATTTCCTATTCGGTTGTGATCAAGTTTATTGTTTAACGATTATCACTTATAAATTACTTTTAGGGAATAACCACACATTAGGTTGACTAATAATAAGTACATCGATCAGTATTTTTCCGGTAGATAGCACAGATGTATTTGGTAAATTTTTCTTGTGACGTGTAGTAAATCCCCTTGAATACTCTAATTTCGAATGGTTAATTTTGAATAATATTCAAGTTAACCTGTCCATGTGATAGCTGGCCTTATGTAGTATTGTTGCCGGGCATTCCACTTCTGATTTCAGTTGCATACTACTTGTATCTGTCAGCAAAAGTAATATACACTACAATATATCTCGATAGGTTATAGGCGAGTCATCATCTGTTAGATCATCTAGTTCATATTTAAACTAGTTTTTATATACAATACTGGACAATTGTCCGGGTATTTCACAAATTCGTATTAGCTAAAAATGTGAATCACTGAATCCCGCTTGTGTAAATAAATTTGAAAACTTTGGTTTTGTTCTCTTCTCAATTACTTAATGTCCTCAGGAGGGCAAGTTCAAACGTGAACAAAACAAATATATAGTCTGGTATTATTTAAAATCTTAACTCCTTATTACTTAACAATTACTTATTATTGTTAAAAACTTACGTCACCAGTCACATCGTCTTATTTGATATAAGAAGTGTAATGGAATTGCAGAATGCATCATTAAAACTAAACACCTTTTTCAATTTTAAATAATTAATTCGACATCATACTACTATTTCTGATTTTGAGCATATTTCTGTATCTCTCTCTGTATATATGTACGTATATACATACATTCTACTAAGTAATGTGACAAAGTATACTGAATTCCTGTTTAAACTTTGATACATACATGGCCGTCCAGACATGGATCACTAGAAACCTTATTCTTATCATACCCATTTAACACAAAAAAATATTTCAGCTAGCACGAAAGTTGTAACATAACATTCCCATATGGATTAGTGTGATTATACTAACCCAATGCGTGTCTAGAGTAATTATGATCACTTTTTCCATTTCTTGTTTATTCTAATATAAAAATATCAGTTCAACAAGATTTGATAAGGGGTGTAGAGTTAAATTAAACTGAAAAGTAAAGAGTATTTTTGAAGTTCCGACTACATCAATTTAAATAGTGTTTTTTTTAATACAGGAACCGTTTAAAGAATATTTAATTCTGAAAAATACGGTTGTAGATCTTGACCGAAATTGATTTTTTTCAAATATTTAACGCTTGAAAATTCAAGTTCGATGCCTAAATATTTCTCATTACATTCTCAATTCTTTACTGACTCTGTCATTAGTCAAACAAAACGGAAATCGGTCTTGATTTCATGTGTATTATTAGAAAACAATGATTCAATACAACCGATTATGGACATACTCTTTGAACAAACTCTAATGTAAGAACGTTTACCCCAAACTAACAATGTATCTTCAACAGAAATCAAATGAATTGAACGATATCATCATCAGAGATATATTAATAATCTACAGGTGATTTGAAAAGTATTTTTAAATGTTCATGTAGACAGATTCATTCTGTATACAAATGATTCATATGAACTAAGTTCTCTTAATTCTGAGTAAACAATGACCAATTAGCGAGTCATTTAGTTCTTATCACAGGTTACATAAGCAAACAAATAATTAAAGATAAAAAGAAATTTGAATATAATTGTGACAGGATTGTTTTATGAAGAAGAAGGTTTTCATAAAGAACGAGTTAATAGAAGTTTCGTCTAAGCAACAAAATGAAACGGTCTTATGAGAATGTGACCTGTGTCGCATGTTAGGCACTAACTATTAAAACACAAAAGAGATTTAGTGAAATGTGTTTGATATCTTTAAGATCTAGCTTTACGTCTGTTCAGTATCCGTATCTTCAGATGGGCTCGTCATTAATCCAGTTATAAAGGTTCAGTATCGGAAATATAATAGTCATAATATTGATCGTAATGTTAAAGTGGTAAACACACTGGTGAAAACTGGTCCCTATTTTAAAAAGAGCAAATTTATTATATTAAATGTCTTTCTCCAAATATTTATTGATCATTATGTCACGATTTCTCTGTATTTGATTTCTTTGAATTCCGCTCTCAATAACAGTAGTTTTCAATTGTTATGGCTTGCAGTAAATCATTCTTTTAGATGAACATTTGTTAGATACCTTATAGATTGCTAATTTCTCTTTATTTTAGAGTAACTCCAACTAACGTCACCTATATGAACTTAGATTTCAATTATTCTTAATTTAACTAGTTCCTTTAGATTTTCTACACTTTTGTGGATATACACTCAACTTATTCTCATCTTAATTTTTTACTGGTAATCCTTAACAAGTTTAGTGCCACTGTGTTATTGAGACAAAATATTCTGCTCATATTATTTCAGCTCATTAATTCGAATCGACATTTTCAGATTAATATTTGAATTCACGAGTTCATCTAAGCTAGACCACCATTGAAAACCTGGAATTACTGGACTGTCGTTTCATCCCACTGTGGGACCACATAATAATGCGCATCCATGCTCTCGCACGCTGAATTTGAACCGAGAACCTTCGGTCTCGTGCGAGAACGCTTGATATCTAGACGACTGAGCCGGCATCCAAAGTTGTTAATGTCTAACTTCAATATATCCATGATCTCCCGCAACCCTTCATCCATTGTCTGAAGAGGATAACTATCTCCACTTGACACCAAGTTGACTGTAGAGTAACTGATTCTTTTAAATGTTTCACTAAAATTCTTTAACAAATAATTAACAGGAATATTATGCTCAAGTATATGTTTCTTTAAGTCAAGTCTATTTCTTAACTGTACATTTTAAAATTTATAAATTGTTTAGATTGATTCGTTCAGAGTCTTAACTTCATATCAACCAAATATCTAAAATTCAAAAGCCATATAGATAAGAGGTTTAAGCGGATTTTAAATGAACACGAAAGTATTAAAAATTCCAATTCATTTATTTGGTATAATCAGTTATATGTCAGTGTCTATGCTACACTGATCATAAAAAATGATTATTATTATTAGTGATATTGTTACGAAATCAAATTTTAATTTACTTTGTTTTCCCAAACTATGTTGATTGGGTAATTTATGAATAAAAATTGCATAATGAGTTATTTTCAGCTGATGTTTTGCTTGTGGCTGTCTCCATGACAGTTGAACTCCGATGTCATGAATATCATTGTTATTATTATCATAGTTACTATTTTCAAATCCATTGGTAACAGACAGATCAGTCGGTGCTGTCGGGAGCGAAACAACCTTAACAAAATTAGTAGAAATATAAACCGGAATTAATAATCTGACTTTTGTTAAGCACTAAAATATAAATAATGAAATGACTGACTAGAAAAATTATTTTCAACTTATATTAAAATACAGATATTACAGAGTTAGGCAACATCAGCTATCTGCTTCACTAGAAACCCATAACTATTGATGCAAAGTAAACAAAGATTCAAGACGGATGCATAACTGTAAAATGGAAGGACTGTTAAAATACATTCTAAATAGATTGTGGTTTGGAGGATATAGGCTAATAGATTGAACTAAACTTTAACGATCTTGTTGTAAAAACTAAGTATTCGAGTTTGAGTCCCTGAAAACTTTTTGCGTTTGAGTAGACAGTTAATTTTGGGGTAATCAAAGGTATATGCCGACCTCAGCTTATCTATCACAGTATTGTTGTTTTTCATCTTGAATCATGTTTCTTAAACCTTTTATCAAGTTGTGCCTAGAATTATTCACTATATACACCGGTATCACTTATTTCCGAACGAACTATAGCTCATTAAGATAACATGTTCATTATCATCGGTTATACATGTGTCATTCTCGACTAACGATAAATATATCACAACCGTTCCGTTCAACTACTTCATTGAAAATTTCGCTACAAAGTTGTATTGTCCAATCAAGTTTCCAACCTCAAAACACCAGCTTTTAGTTTACTTAACAACGTTTAGAAATCTGTTGTCCATATAAGCTTTCTTCCTAATCATTGAATCCTAGTGATATTATCATAAATAAGAATAATTAGGCTAAAATCACGAATAATCAACTTTAAATAGCAGTTCTTTTCAATAAAATGAGTATAAATATTATTTTCTTCAAAAAGCTCTTACTTTTAATTCAGTTTTAAGAGTGTAATTACCACCAAGTGATAGGATTTCACAAACATAGAATCCTTGATGTAATACATCAACACTGTTAACGTGTAAAATCGAACCATACTCTTTTAATCCTATAGGCGGTTTGTGTTTCTGTGGAATATCACGTGAGAAATAAGTGATAACTGGATCTATTGGTACAGACTTGACAAGATTGTAATTTGTAATTACTTTTGTATTCTCTTTGATAGTTTCATCAATCATCATGGTATTATTATGTTTCTTATATTTTTCACCTGAAAGAATAGATTCTTTCCTTCCATGAAACCAATTAATTTCAGCAAGTGTATTTTGATCAATGTAAAATGAACACATTATTGATAAGCTTTGATTAGCAAAAGCTGTTATTGAACTTGGTAAATAGTGAACAGGTATGGTACGAGCTGTTATTGATAAAAAAGTGATTTCTATGATAAAACATTATACAAGATACTGACGAAGTTAAAGAATTCAAACTTTAAAGATCGAGAAGAAGAATTAAAGACAATTCAGGCGAGTAAACTTGCTTTTTGATGATATCATTTACTAAAGCTTACTTATTGTGATTTGGAAAATATATTAGTCTACCGGAGAATGGAAAGAGTATATTTTACAGTATTCAGAGATTTCATGTATGATAAGAAAGTTGCCTAAAGGCTCAAAGATTGTAGAAAGAATAGTGAAATTAAAATAATTTGCAAATCAGAAACATAAATCATAGTCATTAACTTCACAGCTATGTACAAGAAATAGAAATGTGGGAGTGATGGTACCGACTCAGCCATAATTAGTTAAATTACAACGGAATAATGACAACTAATTATGGAATAAATAACAGACCGGAAAGAATAATGGAGTGATAGAAGATTGAAAAATTGCATGTGCTAATTCTTAAAGAGGAATTGAGGCTTAAGATGGTGAATGGTCAGTGGCTCTGGAGTTCATCGGTTTTTCATCCTTGCTCCCACTTGTTTGACTGTGTTGATTTTTTATGAAAGATAGTTCTGATGGAACAGAATTGACCGGAATTTATGAGATTTCTCTGTAGTGATCACTGTTATTTTACATTCTAGAATACTTCACAAAGAGTTCACTTTGTGCATCCAATGTAGCTTCCACAAAAAAGAAAGTCAACTTATGGATTTATATAGATCTCTACAAATACGATAGCACAGCTTCAACAAGTGATATAATTTAAAAAACCTGGGACTTTTGTTCTCGCGCGAACCTTATGCCAATATGCAAGATAACTTTTCAGGGTTTGCTAGTTATTAACATTAGGGATTTTTGAGATTGCTTAATTTTCTTAGTTTATATCATGGACTCATCTTAGTTAGAATGGTTGTCTAAATCAAACAACTATACATTTATTTATTCATTGTGACAGTAATCCATTTTAAGGGTACAAAGAGATCCAAATGATCATTTCAGTGGTAGGATATCACTGAAGCTAAAAGGACCTTATTTTTATTAGCTACTTCATTTGGATTGATCAAAAAATACGACTAACTTACCATAAACACTGAGATAAATAAAAGCTGATTGATTCCCTAAATAATTCACTGCTTCACATTTATACAAACCAGTTGATTTATAATCAACATGATAAATCTCCAATTCATTTAAACCGATCGGTACACATGAATTAGATACTGGTTGTATAGATTTTAGTTTATCATCAGCTAACATTACATTCACATCATCCTCTTTGATTAAATATTGCTTTCTCTTGAAAGTTGAAGAATAATTAGAATTTTTATACTTTTGATGTAATTGATAAATTGGTGTCCATTCATTTTCACTGGTTTCTGGAAAAAGAATAGGGGAATCATATAATAGTTATTACATAAAATCGAGCATTACACATTATAAACATAATTCAATTTTGTTATCCATTAAGATTTGGATTGTTCTTTTTTGTCAAACTCATCAATTCCCTTTTTTTGTAGTTATAACACGGTTCATGGAAACTGTGATAGAAGATTAAATTAGTGAAGTTGATCTTGTTGATCACATCTCTAACTGTGAAACATTGTAATTTTGAAATAACACATTAATCCAAGAAAAAAAATAATCTTGTAAAGAAAAAAACCCAGCAACTTAACCGAATTGACCTTTTTGTTAAAAAATAACATTCATAATTGACCCTAATTTTTTTTAATTTTTCTCCCGAACTTGTGGAATCTATATTGAAACTAATCCAGTTACTTTCAATTTAATTTTGACGAAATCCTATTCGCGGATCATTCAATTTTATGAATTTATTGAGGACATTTTGTGGGTATTCAGTAAAAGAAAAGGTCCCTATCATAAAAAATTCTACAGTCTTCAGTCAAATTATTGATAACGAAAAATAAAACTGGTTAGTGGTAAATTTTAAAACATGCACAATCAAGACAATAATATATTCATCTACTCACCTTTATACCATTTAAATTCAGGTGTTGGTGCTCCATGAATAGGACAAGTCAGAACTGTTGTTGATTCTTTCAATACAGTAATATTCTCCATAATTATTTCTGAGTTGCATAATCTTGGAGCGAACGCTAAAAGGAGCAATCGTAATTTTTTTATTATATGAATGAAGATCATTGACATAGTTAGATGAGAAATGTTCGACAAATGGTCACTGTTGATGTATTTGAATAGACACTCTTTCGGAGGATGATTTATGAAACGTTTACTGGTTGTATACTTTAATGTGAAATTCGTACCTTAAGAAATCACAACTGACGATTACTGTTTTGTAGATAGTTACTAATGTCATTAAACTACCAGAAAGTTCATGTATCAGAAATAACTTTTGAAAACTTAGGACTAAAACACAGTTAACTGTAAAACATTTGAAAAAATATTTAGAAGTATACATATGCTTCATAGTTTAGTTGAACAAGTGTATACCATAAGCATAAATTTTGTCATTGCACAACAAAATAGAGGCATTGAAAGCAGTTAATCTGAAGATATCCCGTTCCGCTTTGCAAGGAATTTTAAACATGTATTCTACTGATATTGAAAAATTACATTACTATAAACACGTTTTAGTTTGTTATAATCGTAATGAGGTTACACAAACAGTTGTTCAGGTGAAGTACAATTTTAATTTGAATATATTTGACCAAATTTCTGTAGAGTTGAAGAACAACTAACTCAATAATACCTAACTAAAGTAAAGCTTTTACTCAATGAGGTTAATTCAATAAATATGATTATGGACATCGGCATTTAAAGATGTCTTGGTTGCTTATTTAACTTCTGGAAACATCATCTATCTTGGAGAATAATTTTAAGTTAATCGGAATTAATTAGGAAAAAAACTGGGACTATGTGGATAATGACTTAACAAGATCTAGCATGATATCATCTCATAAAGTTGCCGTTTGTTGAAGTAAATCATAAAAAGTAGGTGCTAACTTATAAAATAAATTCCCTTGAATTGTAACACAAATTCTATATTCTGTTTGATAAAAATCTCATCCTCTCTCAGTAGAACAGAAATTTTTACTTCATCTGCTAAGTATCTCACTGCTCTTTTTCTTCAACCTACACTGTTCTTTGTTATCAGAATAAATTCTCATTTTTTTATTAAATCAGCCTATTGTTATGCTTCTAAATGAGTGTCGATATGATTTTACAAGCGACAATATTTATCTATCACTTAATCAAACTATCATCTAGTCTTTTTTTTAAAAGCCTGACAATATCAACAGATGACTTGAATGATAGGGATTCCATTAAATGTAGATTAATTTTATTAATGATAACAAGATAGATTAAGTCATTTTGAGTTATCTTATAATGAGCGTCAATCTAAATGGATACTTCTTCTTTGCCTATTTCATTCCTGACTAGTTATGATTTAAATTCACCTTCACTTTGAAATACCATAAAAGTTGATCAGATAATTATAAAAAATTAATTAACCATAATCAATTATTACTCACTGATTAATGAAACTGATTTGAATAGATAAGTGAAATGTCGAGATGAAATAATGAAACAGTGAACTATTAACCTAGTCACGATCACTCTATTCTTCTAGTCTACGTAATATGTAATATATAAATATATATATAAAGATACTGTTAAAAGTTATTGTAATTATTCTTTTTAATTGACATGGCTAAATTCAATCTTTATTAAGAAGCTATCACAGTTGGATATAAAATATAGAACATTTTAGAAAAAGTATGAATGATTCTTAACAAGATAATATGTAACAAATAAAAGCTGAAATGTAATTAAAACACAGTGTTTTCTTCAAGTATCATAACTATCACTATAGTAGACAATAAAACAATTTGTAAGGAACAATAATTCAACATAGTTATTTGTGTAGTAGTCTAATCATACTATTTTATTTTAAAATAAACAATAATTGGTTATGATAGTTTAATTCATGAGTCGATCTAAAGTAGATCACCACAATGGACAGCCGTTTCGTCACAGTATGGGATTCTTCAGCAGTGCGTATCTATGATCTCACACGTGAGACTCGCCTTTAATCAACGAAATGACATCTATGACATTGATAATTGTTTTGACGTATGAAAAAAAATAAAAATAACCCATGCTAATAAATTTGAAATACTAGTCGGGAACAGAAGGTCTGGCAGCAGAAAGACAATAGAATCGAACAGTAAAGAGTGGAAACAGGATGCAATTTGTGTGAAAATGCAAGAAGAATGAAGTCTGAGTCATTTTGAGACAATTGATGGATATTTTTCAAATTAAGCATTTACTTTATGATTGTTAGATTTTATTAACAAGTCCTGTAATTTTGTGTTAAATACATTCGATTGTCCCTTCCGGTGTTCTTGTTCACTAAATTTCGTTGATAGTAGCTTAAGCTTAGTGAAACGTTACTGGATTGAGGGGGAAAAAGACAGATAGCATTTTAGAATTTATATATTCAATTCAGAAGCAAATGTCTGAATGTACTAGCAATAATGTGTTAAAAGGTTAAAAATCAGACATATTAAATAGAAATATATTTCTAGTCAGCAATATGCTGAACAAATGAGTTGTCTGAGAAGTTCTGCTTTAGCGCCCAACTCATTTTAGATATTTTTCTGCTACTTAATTTACCATATCGAACAATAAATATCACATTGTTTTATAAAATAAAACAACTCATATATGGAAATTTGTGCAATGTTTGTTTACCAGAACATTGTCTCCTAATCATCTGTTCATAGCATGTGTTTGTTTGTAATAACGGTACTGTACAAAAAACTTATCAATTTGCAAATATTAAATTATAGGTATAACTATCGTTAGATCGTGAATTTCTCGAAACATTGAGGGCTATTGAAATCATTAATCATGAACGACATCTTCAGCCGTACGACAGTCAACTTCCTATTCAAATGATTATTGATTATTTGAAATTTGTGGAAATCATTTGTGCATAGAATTCAGGAAAAACCTATTCATGTGAAACAGTGGTTAGATCGGTAGCCAGTTTTATGAGGAATTCCAACCTTATTGTTTACAAAACAGTAGTATATGTGTTATTCATATGCCCAACGAATGGAAATCATTTTTATAGAGATAGGATTTGTGTAACTTAGATGTTGTAAGATAAACGTCTTTTATTTTTAGTCCCAGTATTTCTTGAAAAAGTAATATACGTATATCAAAACAGAGAATTCATTATAATTTTGGTATTTTAACAGAAAAGTGAAATGACTCAATGACATAATCAGTACAATATAGGTAAGATACACAGAAATACTTTCTTTATGAATTAATGAAAGCAAAAACATATAAGAATTTCCAGTCAACAAGTTCAGGTTTATGACTAGTAACTAAGCTTATTTCCGTTACAAAACAAACATAATCCATACAAAACTGTAGACATAAATAAAAAGATTCTTGGACAGTAAACAAGATAAGAAAAAATAGTAACTTACACGTTACTTTTAACCAAATATTTAGGAAATCTTCACCAACATCATTGTATGCGTAACATTGAAAAATACCAGCATCGGTTAACTTCAAATTTTTAATGATTAAAGTATGATTGGTATGAATCTGGTAACTAAATAATTTTTTTCAAAAACAGTAAATACAAAGAAAGAGATAGTTAATTATCCAGAAATATCTCTTGAACGATATACTATAATGTTATTAAAGGACAAAGGAAACAGCCCGAAATTTCATTGTTATATAATTGGAAACATTATACTATTGTGATGTATGTTACTTATGTCGCCAGACAGTCTTGCTTCATATATTGCATCGAGTCATTTCAGCTTTTCTTTACATATAGCAGAAAACAGTTAGTTCATAGCTATAACAAACAACCGTACCATCAGCGGTAATCGGTAACTTTGTCAAGGCATAGCACACACGTTTATTGAAGTCAAAGATTGACTCAAACATCAGAACTCTTTCAGTTGATGACAGAATTATTTATCAGTGAATGGAACAAAGAACCAAATTACTGATCAGGCCCTTACTACCCAGAGTACGAAAATAACCCAGGAAAGATAAAGGCGATTCGGAAACCCTTCAACACTTCTTGAAAGTGTATGATGAGAAGATAATCAACATAATGCACTCAAATAGCTGCTTACGAATTCTATGGTTTTATGCCACACTTCTATATATTATAGGAAACGTTTGCATATTGTTACAAATAGAATAAGAGCAGAATCAAATTGAAGTCAATTAAGTACTGCTTTAGAAATTTAATCTCCATCAACATCTGTCAGAATTATGATACTTTCTACCAAGAAGAAAATATATATATGTATTATCCGTTACAAATTCACATTCAAGTACAAGACTATATACATTGCAGTTTTGACACCAAATACAAAACACTTCGAGATTCTAACTACTATTCTTTGTACCATTGATAGTTTTTTTCTACATCGAGTTGTTTTCTTTAAATCAACTTGCAGGTTAAAGAATGCCTAATTTATAGCGATACATTAAGCACAGTTATGTCGGTAATCACTTACTGTTCAGAAAACGTTATTGAGTACAAAGCTATCATGTTATCTGTTCAATAAGTAATACCGAAATGAGGGCACTTTTCTGTCAGTACGTATTAGTAATTATTAAATCATGTAGATATATGTTGGAATAGTATTAGATTGTTTTCAATATTAATGTAAGTATCAGTTTTAAAGGTAACTATTTACATTTAATTATGTATGTTATTATCCCTTGATTCCATAACATACCTTAGGTAACTAAACGTAACAATAGAAATGTTCTGAAATGCTTGATTCAAGCATCCATGCGATCCCTGTATCGCTGTTAGGTGAGAGAAGATTTAGTAAATAATTACTTGACTCTAATGAATCCATTTACTTTGAATCTTTGTTTCAAGGAATGAACATTATATTTTTTACTTTGATGTTTAATCATTTAAAAACAGCTTACACTTCTAGTGGATTGACAGCTATCCAATCTACATCATCTTACATTCATATCTCTCAGTAAAAATATGTCTATTATTTGCAGTAATCTTAAGGGTTTTTTTAGATAATAAATAGAACCCATTTACTTACTGATACAGAAAACAAATTCTGTCCAATGGACGGATTATTCTAACGATATTATTAACTGAAACTGTACAGTTGCGTTTTCTATTAGATTATACGCACTGACTAATTGTAATTACGATTGTAACGTACGTTTTTCAATGGTGATTATCTACCTGGGAGTTTCACCATATATAATGCTTCTTTTGAATTATACACTTTATTAGTGATGATAAACATCTTTTGAATTAGACATACATAATACACTTATCAAACTTAAAAAAGACGATAATACCAATTCAAATGTTTAGTGATGACTACCCATAATTATTTATGTAGTATATTCAAGATACATTTAAATTATTATACGTCAGTTATTGACGGACCTAAATTCACTAGAAATATCTTATTCGCCTTTAGCATAGCTGGATATTTCTGAAGCAAACAGTTTATTACAGTCATCTTTATTAGAACAAGTAGCTTTGAACCAGTTAGTTTTGCTTGCTCTCGATGAATTTTATACATCAGATATGATAGTTGAGAATGATCTATCAACATTTGTAATAATCCATAATCATGTGAAAATCTATTTATTTACTAAACCTGTTGAAATTTTCCTCATAACATATTGATCTAAATATTCAAGATTTACCAATATAAGAACGTCTAATTGGTTTTTAATTGTACTATTTTCTTCCTTCAGACAGGTTCCATTTAGTGAAATGGAAGCCAAAGCTACTGACGCTTGTATTTTAAACAATGAATTACATAATCGGTTGGCTGATATTTAAGTGGAATTCTAGAAGGATAATTTACGAAGTATAAAGGAGTTCTACACATACCTGTCAAGTTCTTAACGTTGATCAAACTTCCGTTGGTTGTTTTGCAATATGACAACAAATTTAAGTGATTAGACATCAAACATAGGATGTTTTGGCGTTTAGTACGTTGATGAAAAAAGTGGGATATTTTAATAGGATTGAATCTGCTTTTTACTCAAGGGTGATAACCATTAGGATACTTTCTGAAGATGTCTGCAAGCAACTAACATAATTATGCCCTATTTTTACTATCTGGAATCGCTCTTAAATTAGAAAATTTGGTCTTACGTTTACTTTATAGTGAACAAAAAATCTGATTATGAGTCTATTCAGAAATGCTTTAAAGATCGTTATCATAGAAACGTTTCTGAAAAAAACTAAGCAAAATTTGTCAATTAATGACATTATCTAATTGTATAATTTCTACTTCATTGGGAGTTTTATAATAAAGCTATGAATCAATAATTTAATCAATTAAATGTCATCTTTTTAATTAAAGATGAAAAATCTTCTTCATCTACTTTTATCTACTACAGTTTCTCCAGCTTTAGCAAAATGCTTTTGGTTAATGATCAAACTTCAGATCGACTATCGACATAAATGACATCATCAGGACTAACTTCAGGTACTTGTCCTAATGCTTCTTCTCAGAAGGACAACAGAAGCTGCACAAATAAACCATACGGCTTACAGAACGGAACGTCATCAAAATGAACCAACTGTACTACAAATCATCAACATTTCAGATATCACTATGTAACACGAGTGGAAAGTTAAGTTTAGAGTATGAAGCTCTCAGTTTTTAAGCGATAAATCATAGTCTAAAATTCCATTCTACATTCTTCTTTTAGAGCAACTAGATAATACTATTAGTCTTCGTCCAAACTGTATACTTCAATGTTGGGTAGATAAACTAGTCACGAATTAGGGATTAAATTAGTTGACTAATGATTTACTTTCTAATCAATACCGAATCACTATTGATCAGAAGTGAAGTAAATAATAATTCATTCATTCCTAAGTCAGTGACAACTTTTTTCAATAACGTAAACTGCAATCTTGATAACTAATCCTATGGCTGTTAAATAATTAATCAGTTGTAGTGAATAACTTGAGTCAATTAAACAAGACAAAGGAATGAAAGCTGAGTGGATTAAGAAGTGAATCTAAGTACATATATATATACATATATAATCTTGGATGATTGATAAGCGAGCGTACCTATCCTCACACACACACACACACACAAACATAGTACACAAATAATGTTCTTGATATCAATCAAATCTGTCATTTCATAGCATAAATGCGAGATTTAAGTAAAAATTGGATTTCTTTGTGTTAGATTGAATATATAGCCGGAGCCGATAGCTTTTGTACAAACAAAATCAAGTGATGAATATATTTTTGAAGAGAATTCAAAGTAGTTAATATTAAATAACCTTTATTCAATGTATACAGTATTATCTAGCGTCATCTGTAAATATTTGGAAGTGTTTATCAATCACTATAAATATTTCATTGCTTAAGTTGCAGTTATTTGAGATCGTTTTAATATTATTTTCATGCTAGACTGAAATAAACATGAGTAGTGATTTAAACAATAAAATATTTTCAATTTTCAGGATTCACGAAGATTGTAGCATTTTTAAACTTGTATTCACGAGTCAATCTAAACTAAACCACTACAGAGAACCTGAAAGCAGTACACGGCCGTTCCGTCCTATTATGGGACTACTCAGCAATGCGCATCCACGATCTCTTACGCCGGACTCGAACTCACGACCTTTGGTCTCGCTTGCGGACGCTTGATATCTAGACCACCGAGCCGACATACAAAGGTGTTAGTGTCTAGTTTCGAACGATTCATGATCTTGCGCAACCCTTCATCCATTGTCTGAAGTGGATAACGGTCTTACATCTGACACAGATTGGACTCCGTTGGTCACGGCTTCTCACTAGAACTCTAAAAAATCCATCTTACTAATGAGCACACGATTATTATCATTATCAAAATGGAGATTTGTGGAGATTGTAATATTTCCAAAGTTGAATTCATTAAACAGTCTAAGATAGACCACCACTGAGTCCCATACTAGTCCAGTGCTTCCAGATTTCCAGTAGTGGTCCATCTTAGATTGACTCGTGAATTCCACTGTGAAAATAAACTATTTGACAATTGTTTCACTCTAATTTGAGGCACCTCAATGTCATACATTTATGATTAGATGAATGAATAAAATTACCGAATCTACTTGAACTGTGGTCAATTTAAACTTTAGTGCAACAATTTTCCAGTAAATTACATTTCCGACTCTATTAAGTGTAGACTAGTGTAGATGACCGTTTCCAATTATTCTTGTTTTCTTAATATTTCTCTGATTCATTTCTAAACTTAATGAAAATGATAGATAATCAACAGTTTAACACCTAACCGATTGATTGTCAACTGTTGATTTACTATGGTAATATAGCATTGACGACTGATAAGAAAGCACAACCACTACTTTTTGCTAAATCCCCTATGAGATGAACAGCTGGTAGTTTTAACGCAAAGTCGCGTACCGATTAAATTTATAAAGTACCTTGTTCATTATTTTGTGAAATTTTGTGTATTCACTACTGAATGTGTTGAAACCGAAGTGATTTAACTGTACAGTTTTCTTTCCATAATTTACAGACTACTCTCAGTTAGATAACGGCTGAAAATCTAAAAACACTATAAAGCTACTAAGTCCTAGCATAAAACTCTTCAGAAGTGTGCATTGATGACCACATCCAAGATCGAACACGGGATATTTGAATGTCTTGGAGAACGCTTACTCTTCAGTCCGCTGAGTCGACATTCAATGATATACGCGTATAACTTCGATCGATTCAAAATACTTTTTTCTTCAGTTTATTAATGTAATTGATGGGAATAAGGAATTTGCAATATCTATCTCTAGACGATTTTATCTCTAGACATTTAATATCAAAAACACATCTCAAACATTTATACGTTCGTGTTTTCTATCAAGTTCAAAATAGAAAGTCATCTGGGAATTTTTCTTACTTAAATACACCATATACATTATGGAACAGTAAAAGATAAAACAGATTTCATTGGATTTTTGATGTTCTCATTTATAAACTTTAATGATTCGATTAGCTTTTTTATGAATTGATTTATAGTAAAATTGACATTCATTATTCCACGCAATTTATACTTACACTAATCAAAATACAATCTTTTCACTAGTGGGAGACAGAGTTTATTAAATGTTTCAATATATATATGAAGTAAATAAAAATTGACGTTTTGACAGTAAACAATAAATATGGAGAGCTAGAAAGTTTCATTAGTTGCCCATATCAACGCAAAATTCAAATGGTTTGGTGAAAATTGAAATAGAAGTGTGAATTTTTGTGTTTTATTGATCGACATCACAGTTGGATCTGATAAAAAAAATATGAACTTGGTAGATTTAGGATACCTCAAATCATTACAGTGAGATTTCAAATTACTATGATGATAAGGAGTAAATTAGTTGATATTATAATATTTGAAATGAAAATCGTCTGAGCATGGGGCAAGAAATAAGAACGAATGTAACAGGAGTACGAAAAGTACACAACAACACTGAAGGCGGCCTGCTTGAATATCTGGGCTACCTGTTCCACCGATCTAGATATTTCATCAAGTTATCTGTTTTGTTGTTTGTTTTAGCACATCATTATGTCTATTGTGCACACAATCTATTCAGGCGCGTTTATGAAAAGTTTACAACCTTTCGCTATACGGGATGCAAAAAGGTACAATCAGCGACATCATGGTGGCCGGCAATATGCATTGAAACAAATGAACATTAATCAAATGTGGATTACCGAACTCCTAACATCTAACTGTTCATCATTCAAAATTTATCGTCACAATCGATCAAGGTATAAGAAAAGGAAACTTGTTGAAATACTTTATGCTGAGAATTCTATGTTGTACCAAAAATATAATGTTGAATAAAGCTTCTAATAATAATAATAATAATCAATATTTGGGGAAATGTAACGTATGAATAAAAGAAAGTGTTTATTTTCTACATTAGTTTTTTTTCAAGATGGTAAATAATGAATCTTATAAAACTGTCTTTAGAAATGTAGGCGTTTTATGAAAAACAATTTGAGAGATTATAAGTAAATCTTAATAAATGACACCTCTACAACTATGTATCATGCAAAACGTGTATCCTTTACGCTGAAAGTGTGGAGATTATGCTCATGCATAATATTGTTGAAATTTCACTTTCCTAGTTACTCAAAAAGTAGATATAATCAGTCAAAATGAATTTAACATAAAATATGTTTATATTGTCGTATAAGTATACAGAGCCCATCAGAGATGAAATATAAACATATTCGGTTCACAAAAACCCAGTTGATGAATTCATCTTTATCTAACTAAAGACGTCTGATAAATCATAAGTATTATGCATTGTTTTGCAAAATGCCGTAATAGAGATACATGTATCTAACATTCACATACAACGTCCTAATAATCTGCCATTGTTGTTGTCATTATGAATTAATTAGTGCTAATTGGTGGAGAGCCCTAGAATTAGGGTCAAAGGTGGTTCGACGCTAAAGGGTAGAATTACGTTTATTGAGTTTTTAGATATCTTGCAAACAGGTGCCAGATAGGTCTAGATCATTTTGATAGTCGCAAATAACAATTTAATATACAAACATAGAGCACTCATTGTCGGCTCAGTTAGATTAAAGATCACGGTGGAACTGAATTCATACAGTCCGATCAACAACAAGGAACATGTAAGCATTATATTGATAACAGTCCAATGGTTCACCGAGGTATATATGTGAATTGTATATGGTGAAAATGGTAATCTTCTACAACCCACGTAAATCTTCTCCGTTTTCATAACAGGGTACCAGTAATCCAACCAAACACCATTATTATTCAGTCTTAAACACACGTTAACATATATATAAAATTAAAGATGATCATGTATAATAATTAATAAATCCCACTGTTTATATAAGAAGGCGCAAAAGTGAATGGAGGATTAATTAATAATGATTTATGAATGTCAAGAAGTATAGCTGCAATCAATGAGTCAAATGAAACCTTACAATTAGAACAATATGAGAATTTCATGACACCACCGCTAAATAAATAAACATTAACAGTATGTGTATTGGTTCACCATAGAATAATTATGAGCATTTTACAATTTTACTTATTCACCTAATCCTAATAGTATGTCCATAGAAACAAAACTCTTAGAAACTATTGCTTTTTAGTGTGGGATCAGGTAGATGGTTGCACGACCTCATGTACTGACTGGAGTTGAACTTGTATACTATGTAGTCTTGGCTGATTGATTTGGAGACTATACGTTTACACGCAAGACCAAACAACCTGAGTTCAGCCCTTGTGAAAGAGTTGTGGACTGATGAGAAGTCCCATACAAAGAGAAAATAATTATCCTTTTCTCCCAGTAATTCTCCTTTCAAGATCTCCATGACAAAAACATGAAGCGTTTACAAGAAAATTCATATCATACTTTTTTCATCTATTTAGAGCACCGAAGGTTATGTTAAGAATCTTATTCTTTAGGAGCTAGAAAATAAAACAACTTTCGACGTTTTTATCACTACCCGTAAACATCCGTCTTATCTTTGCTATTTTGACTGTTATTCAAAAAAGCTTTTGATAGTAACGTGATATTTGAGCTAAACGGAAAGTGCAACTTTACCAGAAGTATCTGTTTACATCCCCGAATTTCAATTAACATTGCTAAAACAATTTATGCGTAACATGATATGAACCTGATGATAAGTAAAAATGTTCCTCATGCTGTTCAATGTGAAATATTTGGAATGATTATTGCTTGAAATATCGTGTATCATATATCGATAATAAACAAATATTTGTTTATTTTGATAAATGAACTTGATTCATTCAAACAATCAATCAAAAAGACAATGAACATTAAATCGATATATTTTGTATGACCTGTCTAATGATGAATAAAATGAACAAATTAAACATAACATTATAAATATTTACGAAGACCGTATCATTTATTTCTATAGCAGAAATGTCAAATTTTGACATTACATTGAGCATACGGGACGCTTATGGATATATATATATATATATATATATATATATATATATATATATGCATTGCGTTGAACGTTGAACATGAAACAAACATTATTATCATTATAAAAAGAATATAAAAACATGTAACTTACTATTCTTGTTTATGTGTATCAATTGAATCACCATTTCTTAACCACTTAATTTCAGCTTTCGGTATGCCAAAATAGTCTAGTTCACATGGTAACTGAATAGTCATACTGGCACTTGTTTCAATTATCACTAATTTATTATATTTCGGTGAAATTTCCGATTGACTTGTTAAACTATTCACAATCAAATTTGGTGGGAATTTAATTTTTGGCGGTAAATATAATTTTAATCTAGCTGTAGTTGATATGGGACTAATACGTTGATATAAATTAATTGCAGAATTTGTAGAAGAAGATGATGATGAAGAGGAGGATAAGACTGATGTAGTAAATTGAGAATCATCTAATATGAATTTATTCATATCAAATACATTATTATTAATGTAGTCATTTAAATAAGCATGACATGTATATTCTTCAGAATAAATACCTTTTTGATTGATTTGTTGAAAATAATCAGAAGGTATTACACTCGGTAATATATTGCTAATAATTAGTGTTCTATTGAGACCTGAAGTATCAAATTTATAAATAATTTGATTATTAATGTTTGAATTATGATTGGTTGACAGTTTTGTTGGTGATGAAATAACATTTGATGGATTGATAAGCTCATGTTTACCATTCAGTGTACTTTTAAACCATTGAACTCTTAGTGCATGAGCAGGTCTATAATTTAGATTAAAACAACAATGAGAAAATATCAAAGTAGGATCACAAAAGATTATTCTCAAAGAAAAATTATCATGTACAATATTGGATCTGAATTCAAATGTATGTGAATGAATGAAAAGTATTGAAGGCATTAATTTATATTACATAGTCTTAAGGATGAATATGATACAATTTTTTTATGAAACTTTACATTCTTAAAACTGTATTTATTTACTAATCATCAAATAGTACATGTGACTAAATGGACATTTCAGCATGAAATTTCAGGCAATCACAGATACTGTGTTTAATAAGATCCGAAAGTAAACATTTTACTCACTTACTGTTTTCTTCAAGCCACAAGAACGAATATTACCAACAACAATTTGCAAAATGCAAAATAGCCATAAGGCAACTACTGAATTAATAGAAGATTAAAATCAAGTCAAATGTATTTTTCTTGTAATCCACTGATGTTTATCTTATACCCATTGATAAGTGCAGTCATTTATTTTTGCATAGTTTTTATATTCAGGTAGGAAACAAGTAATTGCTCAAGGTGAGTTTCACATGAGTTATAATCCCTTAAAGACTCAACAACATTTCAGTTCACACACCGATTAATAAAGAAATATCATTTATTCGCAATTAATTGCAATAAAAGTGAAAGTTGGTCCTGCGATTTAGACTTCAGCATTGCTGGATCCCGGCCCAGTGGTCTAGATAATAGGCGTCCGTGCAACACTGAAGGTCCTGTGTCCAAGTCCCGCGTGAATGCGCACTTCTAAGGAGTCACAAACTAGAACTAAACGACCTTCCAGTGCTTCTAGGTTCTCAATGTTGGTCCAACATTGATCGCTCCATGATCTCACCCAAAACGCAACAATCTCCACAACGCTATACTGATGTTACCTTTTCATTGGCACAATGAAAATAACAGCAAGTATAGCAGTTAAGTAAAATTCGCGTAAACTGTAACCAGTAGTTTTACTGACCTACTTTATAAAGTATTTGTTTATCTTAAAAAAGGCATCAACCTGTAAGACCTCTTCAACTTTTATTGTTATGTCCAATTTACTTCAACTAAATTTACAGTAAATCTAAAAGTTTTAAGAAAAATAATAATCTGGAACTTTTAGTAAGATTTTTGTTGGATTTCAGTACCTGGCTGTAGTAATCAACTATTCAAAATAATGCATAAATTTCCAACACTTCCTTTTCGTTAATCTTCAACTGAAAAGCCTTCTTATCTTATCACTGATGGAACACCTTTTTTTCGATGGTTTTTCCTAAATATTAATTATTAAATCTAACAGGTTCATGTATTTCTCTTTTCTTTTAACTAGGAACTTTTGCCTATTCAAAAAGTACTATCAAGAATGTATAGAGTACACTGAGATTTCGCATCATTCTGACCAAACATTATATATTATGAAAAGGATTTACATTATTAGAGTCAGTTATACACAACATCCATTTAAGAAGTCCCAGTTACAATAAATACAGCTTCACAAAACGATTCGTTATCTCGATTTAGTACCAATATTTGAACTGCAATATTCTACGATTGGGATCTATCAATCGATTGGTTTTTTCAGCATTCAATCATCATTTCTTATTGACACTACGTAATATAAAGTGAAATCTGGCATAAAATTTCCAATTATTAATTCAGACAACAGATTTCATTGATCAGTAATAATCCAATTAACATAGATAACGTGATAAGAAATAACTATAATCAGAAAGGGAGTTTTGTTAAGATTGTAGTTATTTAATGGTTAAATTCGTGAGTCGATTAAAGCTGGACCGCCATGGAAAACCTAGAAACACTAGACAGCTGAAAAGTCCCATACTAGAACTAAACGCCCGTCCAGTGCTTCCAGGTTCTCAATGTTGGTCTAGCTCTATTCAACTCATGAATTCAATTATTAAATGACTTTAAAATTATCTACGGATTAAATATTTTCTCTTCAACTATTAAAATCATTTAAATTAAAAAAATAGGTCACTATATTATTAGCTTAATTAATTATTTCATTAAAATCTTATATAGTTATCATTGCTGTTAATTCATTTATTTGCTTGTTTTTTTTTATATTACACAATTATCAGTTTCATTTACACGTAATTAACATTTAACTAAGTTATTATCTAATAATTACTTCTTGTTGTAACCAATTACAATTATTTTTCTGGCAAAGTTTTAATGATGAATTCAATAGAAAGAAAAGAACTTCTCATTATTATTATTATTATAGAGTGTGTGTGTGTGCGAGAATTAATTTTGCCATCAAATGTTTTCTAATTTAGAAGCGGATGTTTGCAAATTGCTATGATATTCGTGTGAAAATATTTACATATGAGATTATAAATACATGTTATTTGGGAGGAAAACCTTGGTTTGTTTTTTCACTCTGTGATATTACCTTTTAATGTGTCGTATTCAAAAAATAAAAAAATGGAACGACTGAAATTTTATCAGTCCGTTTTATGCTCAATTACTGTTCTAGAAATGTTATCGAAATCATTTAAACAGACTATTTCCAGTTTGTAGTTAACAACTGAATTTAGCCAAATAACGATTTGAATTCAGAAAATATTGAACAAGTGTTTCACTTCAGCAGATGGATGTTTAGTAGCTTATATCTGCAAATTCACGATGAATCTTCAGACCTCGTAGTAATTAATTAGTCTTCTAACCCCTTATTTAATAACCAGCGTGAATATTTCTAAACTTAGTCGACGGTCGACATTGCTTTTAATTAAGAACAAACTGGCACTATACACTCTACACATTACTGTGACTAGTAATTTGATAAAATGGATGTATTTATTTAATGGTGAACATTAATAATATGGAGTAAAAGAACCGCTTAGTTCCCAAAATCAAACAGAGCTGCAATAAAGAAAGCCTAGACTATAAATATTCAATTTAACTATAAATAACTACAGTAGTTCAGTGGTCCTTGGTTTTAGATTGTTCTCCAATTAAGTGTTAGTCTTTGGTGAATATTATCTTCTTTTGAAATTAATTTCCTTAAATGACTCAATTTAAAAAATTATTACACATCGAACTCTAAAATTTCTATTTTCCAATATCCTTTAAATATTTTATGCAATATAAAACTGTATACATCATGATCCGATGGTATTTGTGCAAAACGTAGTACTGCAATGGTTTCAAATTTAGCTAATGATATCGCAATGATTGTGAAAGTGATAGAATTAAAACAATCACTTTGTAGAAAATAACAAAAACCGAATTCAGAAAATTCATATATATGCACCACTATCAATAAATCGCACTCATGATGATTGGTTTTTAAGATGAAAATAATTTAATAGTTGAATTCATGAGTCAATTAAAGCTAGACCACCATCGAAAACCTTGAAGCCCTTGACGGGCGTTTCGTTCTAGTATGGGACTCCTCAGCAATGCGCGAGATTCGGACCTAGCACTTATCAGTCTTGTGGGTGAACGCTTAACCTCTACACCACTGAGCTGGCATCCTACTGTGTTAATGTCTACCTTCAATCAATCCACAAAATTGAGCCACCATCCACCATTTTCCAGCTTCAGCTGACTCATGAATTCAACTATAAATTTACCAAAATCTTCACAAAACCAATTATGATTATAAATATGATTGGTCATCTTGATTTTGTTATTTTCTTGTCACTACTTGCTGAGTCTTACTATTATTAATTAGGAAATATCTCGGGATTTTTTTCGAAGTGTAAAATATATCAAGACTAAGTGTATTTGTTACATATTTATATAAATGATAAGTCCATTTTTCCCATTTGAAAAAAACCGCTTCCTATTTTAGAGATTATTATCATTTTGCAAACTAATTAAGTTGAATTTAATAGCAACTAATTCAAAAAAGATTACCAGGATATATATATATATTGCGGTAACGGCTCTCGATCAATTCAAGGAAGCTCGAAAACCTCTAAAAAAGTCGATGATATTCCACCCAATCAATAACATTCCAGTATCTTGACGTGTAGCTTCCCAGTTGGACAAATGCTAAACACCACTACAAGCAGATAAAATGACTGTAATGGTGATTTCGTTTTTATTAAAAAAAACTCTAAATACCCGAGTGTTTTGTACCGTTTTTAACTAACTGGAAAAGGATTTCTATCGATTCATCTCCTATCTTCTAACTTGCAAATTGGAGAGTTCAAGAGTTCGAGTGCTCAAGTTATACACAGTATAACAAAAATTCAAATTCTAGATATAACACATATATATATACAGTTTTCATTTAGTTTCTAAGGAAGGTTTATTTCTTTTTAATTATATACCAGAAGAATAATTTCCATTATGACACTGACCCATTATATTTTTCTGACAGAAAAAACAACAACAAAAAAATGTTTATATTTTTAATTGAATCAATATGCAAAAAAGAAAAAAAAATTTAATTTGACATGGAAACGAGTTGAAATTAAATCCATTTTATATAGTTAAATGTAATTGAATCAATTATCTTTATTGAGAAATATGTAATAATAAATTTTATTAGAGAAAATCTACTTAAAGAATAATTCATTTATATCTTCATTGTTATACATTTTAAAGTTGTTGATATCAGGTAAATTCCGATCAAGCACAATTGAATCGATTATCAATTCGTTTGATAATCTTGGAGGCATTTCAGTGTTAGACAGTATGTTTATCGGATATTTAAAATTAGAGAGTTAATATTTATTATGCTTTTGAGTACTACAATCAACGATCAGATTGAATTTATAAGTTATAAGTACTAGAAAACCTTATAGTGAGATTACAATTTATGAATGATTTTCAAACGACGCTAACGTGACCTTGAGAATGTCCACCAAAGTTAAATGAAGTTTACTAACTAGTGTGAGTAATTAGGATCATAATTCAGGAATTAGGAATTAGATCAACGATTTATACCATGAATTGACATCAGCTAAAATGCCAAAATGTTATTTAGCCAAATGAATGAGTGAGCTTCGCTCTAAAATCCAAGACCTGTTATCCTAGATCTCATTGGTTGGTACATTAATTATAGTCTCACTACATGAATATATTATTAAAGTGGTCATGAAGGTCAAGACTTCTCAGAAAACTTATAATAAGCAACAAACATACTAAATATAGCGACTTTTAAAGTGTTGATTTCATCTTAGTTTTAACCCACGATAATTTTCATGCATTATTTTAATGGGTGAATAAGATATATATCTTGATAACATTATCTCTAAAGGTATCTTAATGTTAACCATAAAATGATACTAATCGACACATAAAAGTGAATATTCTTTGAGTTCTATTGTTAAATCATATTGAAAGAATAATTATTGTTTGTATGTTAACACATGTTATATCGTCCGATGATTTATTCATCTAGACAAACCCATAGATCTACTCTTTAAGGATTACAAAGCAAAAATTATAGACTACTGAATTATTTTAATTTTTCTAGGTAGTTTTTCTTGACTTTTTTGTTGTTATTTCCTTTGTTAAATGTTCTATCAGTCTGTTTACCACCAACTGTTATTGTCAATCAAATTTACAACAGGAAAGGATAATAAATTAATGCACTGAATTTTTATCATAGTTGTGGGGGAAAATCGGGTGTCTAGAAATAAAGTATCTATCTAGTTATTATCTAAAAATCTTTCATATCAATTAATGTTTGGCATATTTAAATTTATGAATATCTATTACTGCTACTCTCCGCTAATGACGAGAACCCAGTTAACATGAGACTAACATGAAACTTAATTTTGAATTTTCAAACTGAATATACCTATTCTACTTGAATGAAATATATTTAGGGTAAATTTACCGTCCGTTCATACAGCATTTTATTATTTATGAACTAAACTATCTTAGACACCCTTGACTAAAAGAGTAATGGTATAAAAGAAGTGTTAAAAAGGGAAAATTCATAATTCCATAGACCATCTCTACCAAATACAGACAAATCTATTGCTCATTCATCTATCATAAATAGTATAGTTTGATTTCAATAGGATATATAAAATGTAATCACCCAAACAATGTACCGATGTATGAGAAATTGCTTGTTTAGTATTAAAATAACAGTAAAACACAGGAATCATTAACTGAGGAGCAAGTGGCTAACCTCAAACCTTTAGTAATTTACAATTCGATTTCATAGTTCAATCTGTAGAACATAATTTAAAATTCTTCAATGTTTTAGATTACGTTACAAACTATAATTATCTGCCATATATACATATATCAGTAACAAGCAGAAAGCATTAATTAATTATTTAATTATTCAAGCCATTTATTCAATAAATTATTTAAGAGTTCCGATTTTCCATGTAAACATTACAAAGCTCTTATTTAATTATAAAATTGAAACCGACATATTACAATAAGTAACCATATTTTTTTAGCCACATTTCCAATTCTAAAGTTCTTACTTTCATTTCACCTTAAAAACTGGCAGTGTTTTTTGCTTCTTTTGATTACTTTAAATGGGATAAGAAAAACGATTGTTTTTTCTTCTTTTTACAAGAAGTCAATACAACGTTTATTTCTAAATTAATTCAAAGTGGATGAATAAAATTCTGTAAACAGTTTGTACGGCAAACTTAAATTCTTTATTGATCAAACCGTTCTTTTTCTCTTCATTTCATTTTGTTATACATTAGTGAGTAGACGTTTACTATCTACTCTTGATCTCATGTAAAAACATAGTGATGGGTTGTTGTTTTGTTTTTAGATTTAAACACAAGATTTTTAGAATACCTCCAGTATTTTTCTTTTCTATTTCCTTATAGTTCTTTTTGGGTCCAACATTATTACATTTATCTTTAATTGCGTCATCTTACCATTAGTTATTTTGATGTAAATAAAAGCAGAATAATGTAAAAAAATTACAAAATCTTAACTAGGTTATAATCAAGTAATATAAAACTAATCTATCTTATAGTTTATAAACTTATATTATTTCATTCACCGGGAAACCACTTTTTTTTAAAAAGTAATACTAAAAATGTCTTTGCTGTATTCTTTTATCTGGACATATCGATTGGATTAGACAACTTATAAATTATTCATACTAGAAGAATAACAAATGTCTTTCAGTACAGTATGAGTATTCATATTTCTTAGCGCTATATAGTTATTCAGCAAAAACGGGAACAACGGTTTTACTTTGTTACTAAGGTAACCGATACTTTGAACAAATAGACAGTAATGTTTAGTTAGAAATATAATATTAATTATCAGAGGATTAAACATGAATGTACCTACATCTTTGGAATTATTTACATAAGAAAAAATGGAGTATCATTTTAGTGACCAGTACTACACACTTGAATTTTAGTTGGTTTTCATAATAACTTAAAATGTCACTACACTTTCTATTGTGCCTTTTATTCATTAAATACTCAATCAGATATTTTTTTATAAATTAAATGATTTAACTGGACAACTATGTACTTTTCTTTCAAACCAATATCATCATAAATAATAAATATACTGTAATTTGTAAAAGATTATTGTTAATAATCAAAACCAATGAGGGTTAGTCAATTGCTTAAAATCTGATAAACCGTTTTTAACAAACTGCACAAATTTGTTTTAAACTTTAGAGAAAATCTTACAATTAGTAGTTGAATTCACGAGTTGATTAAAGCTAGACCACCGTGGAAAACCTGAGAGCATTAGACGACTGTTTCGTCCTAGTATGGGACTCTTCAGCATTTGTTTAAATGTTTTATTCAGACCGATAACTTTGATACATCTTTACAGTATTACTTTGTATTTACATCTATAGACGATTCTTAATATGAACTCTTTTAGTAGAATTATTCATAAATGAAAGCAGTTTCGAACTAGTTTACTAAAATTTACATACACAGGAATTGCATATTTGTTTCTATATCCAATGGTTTATCTTGTTAAACTGATATAATTCAGTAGCTTAGTGTCTTACAAAACAAAAAGAATAGTAAAGTAATTTTTTATTCTTTCCATTACTAATGTTTATACGTTACTATGAGATTCTTGAGATGGTGAACTATTCACTTATAATATAAGATTTTCAGACTACTTACTATGTAATCTTTCTTTCTAATATACAATTCTTCGTAATTGTTAAGCTCTTTTATCAGAGAATAAAATTGTATCGGTGTTCAATAATAGACAGTCTATAACTCTTATGTACACTTTTCTTTCTTCTGTGAGTTGTTACAACGTGAAGAGTGACTTGTATATAAAGTAAATATTTTATTAAAAATTATCATCACCTATTCACTATGAAAAAATTAGATTTAAGCCTCTGAAGAAGAATTAAAAAGGTAATCATATGAGTTGATGAAATTCTAATGAAGAAACGACCTTTTACTTATCACGCTGATGGTAAATATTTTGAGCTTCTCCTACCAAAAGAAAGTCTTTCAAGAGACTAATTTGATGAATTGATCTAAATAGATTCTTCTTAAAGAGATTACTTACAACATGAGTAGCTTGAAGATAATATCTGTGATATAAGATGATATAAGATGTTTCCGGTTGCAATCCCATATGGACAATCAGTTCAACTTAAGATTCAAACTACCTCCTAACGCGTAAACTCAGTAGTTATTAAAACTTAAGTGTGTGACCTTCAGTTACTTAAATTCAGCCATCTGAGACTATGTAAAATGCACTCTGAGATCCAATTACTTAAAACCAGTTACCACATTACAACCTGAATGGTCGAATTTAATCACTATTAAAGATTAAACATGAAATTAACTATTGCACAAGACCAATGTGCATAAACGAGTGTAATTAATCATAGGAGATGGAATATTTACAGACAACTGGGTGAGATGTTCAACAGAGGATATACAAGTGAACACCACTTTTACATCACACAGTCTACGTTTTCGAATTCGACCGAGGTTTTTATCCTTGTATAGTCATCACTTCCATAGTAACTGTACTCTGTACTGACTAAGCTCGTCCCAACTAGTCTACTAACTTTCTCACTATACATAAAAAGGCTGAGTGTAAAGCTACAAAGTAATGACATGTATTTTGACAAATCTTGTCAAAATATAGTAGCAATCTACAAAAGTATTTGCATTGTTTCAATAACCAAAAGTATCAGGCTAGTCGTCTATATTGTTATTATGCAACCCAATTGATTTATCTTAATAACGTCCACTGAACGAGTACTTATATTTATATCAATGAAATTTAAACCCTCTACATTCAAATATTTGATTGTTGAACACTCGAAAGATACATCACTGTTCACTCCTTCTAATCTTCTAATATTATTTAAAATCGAGGAAATCAGTATTCTTGCTTATGACAATGGTAAATTTAGGAATTCTAATGTATATGATAAAAATACATTTGTGAAATGGTCATTTGACAGATAATTACTGTTCGTTGTTAATTATTTGTTAAGTATTTCCTCCCCTATCACTATTACTTATTAGTCTGATAAAAAATAACAACTTGTTTAATGTATTATCCAGAGTAGTTTTTAATAGTATGTGCTTCCAATGGTTTCAACATCTCTTTTAAAAGCAGTGACAAGCCTTATTATCTGATGCTTTTCACTTTCCTGCTTTCCAAACACCAATATATTTTAATAAAACTTTATTTTTCACTTACCTTGCATTAAATACACATTCAAAGACGGCTGTTCCTGGTTGGTCATCTTTTAAAGTAAGTGACACATCTTTTGGAGGTAAGACAAGATCTAAAGAATTGGTGGCCATATTTTCAGGTGGATCTGTTAAACAAAATTTTATTGAAGCACGTAGTTAAATTAACAAAATGACAGTGAACGGTCTTTAAATTACTAAAGTTCATATATTAGGTAATTTTCATAAAATATAGCAAAAATCTTCCATCTGTCTCATGATAAACCGTAATAAAATAATGAATTAAGAATCAACTAACCATTTCTGAAGGCAGTCTCCCTAAAAGATAAGAAACTGACAAATTTAAGTAGTTTCATTTCCATCTCATTATATAAACCTTTCAATGTCATACTGCAACTGTTAAGCATTTCTGATGGAATATAGATGTTAAGTCCTAAAGTATTCTCACAATAAGTTCATAAATTATCCGCTTTTTGTTATATATGAACCATCAATGTTCTGTAAAATGAAAATTTTAACCTAAGCACATCAGTTTCTTTTCAACGGTTATTTTCAAAATATACAAAGAAGAAATAATATCTTGCATGAGGTGAATATCCTGGAAAAGAAGAATATCATTTCGTGATTTTGTACACACTATTGAAACTAACAATTGCGATGAAATAAGTCAGCTTCTTGCAAATAAACCTGAAATACCTCCAATATTGAAACACGGTAAAATGCAACATTGAAGTTTAACACTCGGTAAACATATTTTTCTTAACTTCGAAATTATTTCCGGCTTTTTATCGCTGATCTTAAAAATGTCATAAACTATTTATATAATCTGCCCCGTTGATTGTGAAAATTCAGAAGCTCAAGATGACTTCAAGTTTACTAACAAACAAAATATTAACAAACTAACTAAGTTGATAGAGCAGTATTGTTAGTAGGCCTCAAGACAGTTATGTCCCAAAGTGGGCAAGAATATTTCAAACGCTGTTTTCTACCTCAAGTTTGCATACGCTGACACATTAAGAAATTTTGAAATTTCAGGAATAATATCTTCATTATAGTTTATCAGCGTTGCGGATTACCCAGTAGTTTTATCATAAACTTTCAGATACATAAATGATTTAACATTAATATTTATAGGTCAAAATTATTGTTACTTACCTTTAACTTGGATTATATGTGTCTGACTGAATACTTCACTATTTGCTCTTCCGTAGCCATTGATCAGTCGTGCTCTAATCACTTTTGAATCCATTTCTTTATCAATATTAAGCAATACTATAGCTTGTTCCAACTGACTAACAAAAATATTCAATGTACTAGGTATTGGGGCATTGTTTATAGTCCATATAGCTTGTGGGGACGGTACTGCTTGTAAATAATATGAAGGAGATAAAGCTTTGTTTGTCTTGTTTGCTGGGTTGAATACTGATTTCCACAATCCATTTCGTCTTTCCAGTTGAAATGGCTGCTTTCGTTTATCTTGATGTGGTGAACCAGGCCAAATTATAACAGCTTGATCTAGAGTTACTTCAATAAATGAACGCGCCTTGGTTTTAGATGGTGGATCAAGATCTGTTGAGATAAAAATTAAAAAATAGTAGTAATCTAATATCAAACGGAATTGACTTCCTAATAAAACAACTACACTACTTGTAACCCATAAGTAATAACCTTCTCAAGTCTTAATTTCAAAATCATTTGAAAATTCGGACATTATTCATCGAGATTACAATTTACTACCAATTAGTAAATAATAATTAAGAACACTAGTGAGTGGCCTTCAAACAATTATGTAAGAAATCATTTTTTAGTGATCCTTGACTATTTGGTTCAGATAGTTTGATAATTAAGCTTTGATCGTCTTTAAATACAGTACCATTAAAAATGACTCTGGAAATGTTAGTGTTAGAACTTTTCCACCATTAAATAATAAATTTCTTCAGTCAAAGATGAAACTCGACAGGGTTTTTATGATATATATGCTGTCACCATCTGTATGTTTATTTTAATTGCCTTTCTTAAATATCTGAAGACATTTCCAGTTTCGTTCTACCCTTTCTACATCAGTTTTGTTTATGGTTTGGTCATAAGAGGTGCAAGCTCAATAATATATAGCAAACCTGTCATCAGAAATTCGATTGCTGCTTTTTTAGGTCGACAACAGTAATAGTTTTCTTTAAAAGTATTACAAAATCGTGTATGATTTTACTCGAATAAGAAGATACATGTGTTCACTTTACAATATTCGTTTCAATAATCTTTTCATAGAAAAATGAAACAATCATTATAAGCTATCAATTTACCAATCTAAATTAAAAAAGAGACATTTATGATTCGTTTGCAGGTTTTCATGAGAAATACTTTGAATTTTATTTGAGTACACGCCTAACACTAGAAGTTATCTGAGAACAAGACTATCCTGGATAATCAGTCACATTTCAAGCATTAACATGCTAATTGCTCAACTCCTTACATTGGGAATATTGAAAATCGTACTACAGCTGATGTTCAACCTTTTTTAAATAGATTGGTGCCATTTGCATATTTTGAGCGGAACAAACCACTTTACTGGTATAACATGGAACTAAACACTGATCAACAAAATAAAATAAGTTAAAACCCAAAACTAATAATGCCAAGAATTTGATTTCTTCTGCTATTGATAAACAAGATTTTTATTCCATCCCTAACACAGAATGTCTATGATAAAATCTAGTTTGTGATGTATCTTATTATCTCCTGGAGTCATTTAGTTTCAGTCCCAAAAGAACATTAAATAAAGTGACATTTAAACTATAAACGAGGAACAGTTTCATAAAATCAGTAAGTTCGTACATACAAGGTGGTAATAAACCACTAAGTTGGCCATTATTATTCTTGACTACAACCAAAAAAATCGTCAAGATGGCCAAAATCAATTACTGTTGTTCCTCTGAGGAACGTCAGTAAAGAAACCAAAAACGTAAGTCATTTTACTTCATACAAATAGAATTCACTAATAAAAAGCGTCATGTGAACAAAAGGTTTGAAGTAATAGTAATAAAAAGATATCAATAAAACTCAATAAAATGTTGAGAGGTTTCAGCACAGTGACAAAACAAGAGTCTACTTCGGCTACTGTTATAAGCTCTAGTTAGAATTACATATGGTCTTCGACAACGAATATAATCCGTCCAGGAATCTTATCAATGTATTCCGCAGATACATGTACAGCTGAAAATAACAACGGATAACTCCCCTTATATTCCTGAGCATAGTAATAAAAGATATTTCGTCGGTCAGTGTTTTCAGTTAGTTATTCATGAGAAATCACATTTTTTATAGACATCTATTGTAAAACTGGAGTTAATCTTAAACTGAGAATTAGGTTTCTTTGTCAGAATTTGTTATTGAAGGCGATATACATGTACGTACTTTTAAAACTAGACCTACTTTATAACCTGAAATATGGTTATTCACAAAAAACCAATGCGTCTTATTCAAAATAATGTGACTGCATGGCTACTTTGAGTATAGCTTCTGCTTTTTATAAATACAATATTCACTTTATCCATAAAGTAAAGGTCGGAAGGAAACATCGGCGACAATTTGAATATGATTGACAGTTATTTAAATATTACCAAACTTTGTTGTTACTCAAGATGTTGAACTAATTAAGTATATCTTTGCTGAGTGTGGAGTAAATTCTATTAACGTTAAAACTGTGATTTGAAACTCTATATTCTTGTTTGGTGCACAAAGTACCTTCGGACTAGACACCAATGCACGGAAGGTTGAATGTAGTTAAGCAGACACTGATCAGAGCTATGATGATAAATGATGTACAAAACTGTTTAACATATTCTGATCTCCTCCTCTGTAATATATCAAATGAAAAATAATCACTTTATGTTTCACAAAATTTATATCTCGAAGAAGTGGGACAGAGGTTTATTTTTAAACGTACAATTTTTCAAAGACTATATATTCGAGGTCTATACACAGAAACAGGATGACTGTAACTCAAAGATTGCTCAAAATTTAACACAGTAGTCCAATATTTTCAAGTTGTTCATATATCGAAATAAGTAAGATTATTTCGAAATGAAACGTTTAGTTGTAAATGCATCGATCGAATCCCTGAATCATTATATATCTTCATGACGACATTTGAAGTTCTACACAACATAATTTTTGGGAGCATATGTTAAAAGTTGATATTCACTTTCAACTCTGACCCAATCACTAACAAAATATTTAGAGATTGAATGTTGCCATATATAACAAATTGTTATTAGCCATCACCATATATAGACATAAATATTAACTTATACACTCATGACATAACTCTTCAAACGAGTATTTAATGAAAACGCGACATTAATCACAAAAACGTTAATTCAGTAAGCACGTGAATATAAATAACAAAATTAACTTACAACCGATCTCTAATTTGACTTTCCGGCTACGGATCCCCCCATAGGTAGTTTTTACTACACAGTGATAATATCCAGCATCTTCACGATAAGCTGACCGGAGACGAAAAGAAAAAGTAAGATTTTCAGCTATTCTGATGTCATCTTTGTACCAAGATATTAATGCTTCAGAGAAAACATTTGTTTTGCAAGGAAGTAAAACCTGCTCCCCTTCTGGAACAATTAAGTACGAGCTCTCCGATGTAAAATGCAGAGGAATATTTTCATCATTGAGTTCAAAAGATTTCAAACTATGTATCAAGAGGTACAAGATTGCACAACACAAGAATATCCATCTAAATTTATCATCAAAAATAACCATGTATTCCACTTGCTGTAATTGAGACTAGAAATTTGGAAACTACATGAATTTACTATTGATGATAAAAGAGCACGAAAACATATTAGCTGCAGATAATGATATGTCATTCAAATATACTCATATTTTTGATGCGATATAATTTATCAATATGATGCGTTTAAACAAACTGCGAACGAAAAGCTTTGTAAACAGGTTGTTTTTCTAATCCCTAGAGTGAAAAATAGTTATCATTTGAGTAGCTACAACATGGTTTCCTTCGCTTCTTTCGAAGCATCAGATTTTGGCAGAATTATTGTAATATACAGACGTATTAAGCTGTAGTTTTCTTGGTCAGAAGTAGAATGCCGTTGTTTGCTTATGGCCTGTTATTTAATTTTCTAATAGTCTTTTTACTTGCGGAGAGTTAACGTCCATGTTTTATACCATATGAAAACAGCACTACCTAATTATTTTGTTAGTGAAATGTATTACTCTAATAAAACCTAAGAATGTTCGAGGGCAGTTCGATATTAGAATTCACCATCGACGTTCCTCATATACTGCTTTTTATCGATATTCACCACTACCTATGCTGCGGTTTCCTTATATAGTATTGACATTTTCATTTTAACCCCTCAATTCTTATAATCATTCTCCTACAAAAGCCCCCAAAATTCGAAATCATCCGATAGATCTTCTTTTAAGAGCGAAAAACCAACCCAAGAATTGGATCTTATGGCGCTTAGCCTGACCTCAGAAACTAAGCAGACAGTTCAGAATCAACTCTGGTGCTTTATAATATCCACATTTAGTAGGTCTCCTGTCGCCTAAACATACGACTGTTCAGTCAGTTTGAATTTTAGGGTATAATAATTGAATAGCTTTTTAAATAACTAGACCCTGGTAGTATGCTAAATGCCTATTTTACAGGCTATGTCTATTTTAAATGATAATCCGGAAGCATTACGTGGCTATATAAAACACTAGGAACTGTCCCACTTAACAAAACAAGACCGCATTAATAAAAAAACATCATGAATGGTGAGTCAAACTTTCATTACTGTATAACTGAAAAGATGTAAATATATCACAGAATTTAGGGTTTCACAACTATTTTTCCCGTAACTTTTTTACAACTGAAAGAAACTGGCTAGTACAAGTAAGTCAGGAATGAATGATTTCAAAGACATTTTTAAAAAACTTTCGATTTCAGCTGGAAATTAGTTACAAGGTACGCGTGGTGCGATGTAAACAATCACGATCCCGTGCAGATATGTGACTAATAACCTCCGGTGAGGTGCGTCTAGTGGGACTAACGAAGTGATCTTAATAGTCGACGACTTACGGAATTATTTATTTTGGAATTCGTCTTTAATTATAGACTCAGACAGTGACATAAAGAACGACTTCGACGAGTCTTTAAATAAGCCCAAAGATTCACTGATAATTATGTCTGACCTATGTAAATCTAGTGAGCTGAGAAGAATCTGTATATAAAGTCTTTCTCGCTCACTTTAACTTCAGTGACCAGATATGCGAAATAGTCTTGATCACCACTAAGCGCGATGTTTAGTAACCACTAAGAACCCGTCTCACAAACGTACTGTTACTTGAAACCAAAAGTAAATTCCAATTCTCTGACTGGATCAAACATTTTCGAGGTTTAAACACTTTAATATAGCCCCAACATCCTAAATTCATATGCTATAATTTTAATAAGAGTACTCTCCCCTAACATGGTTATCCCGTTGGAAACTTATATGAATATGACTGTGAAAGGCTGTCAAAAATGATAATCTTCATTCTCATAACTATAGATAGTTACTGTTTCTATGCTTAAAAAGATTAAAGAATAAGTGTGTGTGTTTGACGCCTTCCATCATTTTCTATGTGTAACCCATGGAAGAGTGATGCCAAAACGAGGCTGGCATGTGACTTATTAAGAAACTCACTAAAATTCAGGAAACTTTAAAAAATTGAAGTCAGTCGATAGCACGCCAGTCTTCAAAGTAGTCAGGAAAAATCCAACCTTTTAAAGATCAGTTGTGGTATATTCAATAATGTTGGACATTGTGGAAGGGATGTTTTGTTGAGTCATGGTCGTGGTCGCTATTATTACACTTATAGTTATCAATAGAATTATAGATATAATCCCCGAACTGTTGATTCATCATGATATGACCATCTATTCTATATGACCTAACGTGCAAGTCACATTATTGTCCATACCAACCCTTTATACCACGACAATCAGCATTACAATATTTAGAATATATGGGAAACACATTTGGGCTTGGGACAAAATGATATATTATAAGAATGTGTTTTCTGGAGATTTTTAGAAATTTTCACAGATTGAACTCATGAGTCAGTTGAAGCTAGACCACCATTGAAAACCTGGTGGTCTAGCTTCAACTGACTCATGAGTTCAATCTGTGAAAAATGATATATATCTAGTACAAAGAGGAATAAAACGCCACACCCACACTGCCGATCCATGTCAACATGTGTCAACCATTTTTTATCTTCTCTATAGTGCCAAATGTTGAATGCAAATCTCCTCCGTAATTATATGTTCAGCATCAAACATTGCTTAGTTAGAACAAATCCCACTACAGTTTGATGACTGAGGTGACATGTGGATAAAAACAATTTTCTTCATAGAGTTCAACACAGATTTCTTGCCTTAATGATCTCCTTGCAAAAAACATAAATAACCTGCTGAGACAAAGGGATATCGTGCCATGTAATATCCCTGGACAGAACAAATTAGTTGGTACAGTACCCCACGTACTCCTTATAACGGGGTTTACAAATAAAAATTTTACTAACCCACTTTCATCCTAGCTTACAAACCACGTTGTGGACTGGATTTTACGTATTACAGTAAACAGAGTTCACACGAATTGTGAAGTAGCGAACTTTCGCGTTGGACAATTTCAGCTCCATTTCTCTTCCTGATTTTTGTCGACAAACTCCTAGATAAAATTAGCTTGCCGACCCTCACGTACGCTGAGGAAATCATGATATGGAGGTCTATAATGAACGAGAACGACCAACTTACGTTTCTACATTACCTGCGGGTACCCTCCGTCCTGTCGGTAAAAAAAATCAGACTAGTGGTCAACAGGTCCTTCTTCAGATCGTGGGACAAAACAGCTGGAGCACGAGGTTACCCTTTTCAAACGAACAAAGTTTCTCAACATTCAAAATAATTAGGAAGCATAGTGCCAGTATGCAATAAAGAAGTGAACGAATACTTGAGCTACAATGTTTTGAAATTGCTAAGACGTCTGCAGCCAACTCGTCACCAATCAACCTCAGTTGTTACAAGTGAATGACGATCATTAGCCTGACGTTTGACCTGTCATAATGTTATGTTGTATGCAGTAAGCCCTTAAGTCCACAAAACTAAAAATCTGCATTGTAACTTTCTCGTCCAGTTCTTTTCACAAGGAGTAATATGAGACTACTCGCCAGAGACACTAAGAGAACCAAAGCAGATGCAACTCCACATTTTATACGGAGGTAGCTTGACGGAATCTCCATGGCATTATATCCAGCACTCTAAAACATACGCACAACCTGACGTGGAAATTTACGACGTTGTTCACATTATTTTACGAAAGAGACATAAACCTCATAGATTATGTACAGAGACAGTCAACTGGATGGTGATAGGCCTGGGAAAATAATGTTAAGAAGATGAATTCCGACGCTTAAGACCATTCTCTCTGAGCTATAGGAGACTATGAGGTGATGTGATAATGGAGCACAATATACTAAGAACTTTGAGTCGCACCAACACAAATATCCTGCCAGAACATCACAGTCAGGCCACTCCAGACAACTCTCGAATAGACTGCACATCAAAGAGGAGAATCCGTATGCGATACTACTTTTCAAATTAAGAGTTGCTCCTAATCGAGATAACCCCCCTCTAGACCAATCGGCCTAGCCCTCCCCAGTAGAGAGCTTAATGAGGAGACGCAACAAACACGTACTCACCTAAAGATTATCGTAAACAGAATAGCCAACAGTACCTCATGCACGTCTGCTAACTTATTTACCATAGTCATCATAACATGTCATCAGTTTAATCCTACTTCATTTCATATTATCGCCATCCCGTTTTTATTACCATACTCCAGTCTGCTCATACTTCCCTCATTATTAACCAACCAATTTAATTATTTACTCCCTCGAACAACTGTCTTCTCTTGACATTTCTGAATCCTAAGCTATTCTCAACCTATTTTCACACTGGAACGAACCAACCTCTCTAGCAATGTGATAACTGCTAGTATACGGAAAACCCTACAAACTTCAGACAAACACAATCATTCGAAGTGCAAAATATACAAATCTACAAACGACTATCAAAATAACTAGAATAAGTTAAGTCGAGTGACTGAACTACTGCATTTTGGACATGATAAATACAGGGAACACACAAAAACTGGAGACACAACACAACAGAACAGACTGCAGACACGACGTCTACTCCTTAAGTGTTGTCAAACGCTGGAATTCGCTGTCAGCTGAGCTAGTCCAAGAGACTTTCCAGGAGTCCTTCAAGAGAAAACTTGACATATTGTTAAAGACTAAGGATAAAATCTAACTACGATTCACCAATCTTGTTTTTCTCTTTTATCGTTAACAAACCTTGGTTCCTGCCTGGAGGTATTGGTGATCCACTGCTACCAGACACGGAAGTCCGTTAAGCGAGGGCTTCTTCTATTCCGTCCATAACCGTTTGAACCATTTTGGAAGCGCGTAAATTAACTTCCTTTGGCTTATGGAGGCAAGTGACGGTAAGTTGTACATCCCCTGGAATAGCAAACAATATTTGACCCAGTATGCTCAGAACAAGGGCATCGAGTTTAGTGATTAACGCAAGACTATATTCTATGAACAAACCAAACAAATTGAGAATGGCAAGTCTTGGAATTCGGCTCATAATTCACATAGTTAAATAGCATTTTGTCATTACACCTGACATCAGTCCTTAATGGAAACCTGTTAGTTTAGTTTTTTAATCTAAATCTTAATTCTTGTTCCGCATAATAGTTCATAACCCTTTCTTGACCCTGGCAAGTGGAAAAGTTGCCTCAAAGTTCGTACATAAAT